TCTTGTAATTAGATTGGTTAACTTCGCCAATCTTTGAAATTTAATTGGACTGATTTCTTGTGTTGCCCCCGCTTTAGGCGACCCCTGTATTGAGAAATAACGATAATCGTATCGTACTGTTCGAAATCACAATTGTTATCAATAAACTACGATCTATATAATTCAGGATATATAAAAAATTTTATAGTGACGTACAGAGTTACTGCGCCTTAACAATTTGTAAATATAAATAGCATGGGCGTCGGAATATCATTTACCGACATACTGATAAATTACCTATTTAGGCGTATTTTGACTATGGACACTGATGACTATTGTTATAAAGGAGTACAATTGCCAATTGTAACAATAAAGCGTCTATTATATAAATACAAGATTATTTCCACGAAGTATGCCCTTAAACTCTGACAAAAATCTTTCGTATAAATAAACGTCGCAACATTTATTTTTTCTCTTGAGGCTAAGAATGGAGAATAATCGAAACACCTCAACTTTGCAGAGGCGAAACCAGTTTACGTTGCTTTACACACATCATGAATGCAAAATTTTTAGAGCAACAGAAATCAGGAGAATGTCTGAAAATTCCAACAGGATAATGACCCAAAGCATACTAGTCGGGTTGCTAAGGTTTTTTTAGAAGAGATCTTTCCTCAGCAGGACGAAGAACTTCAGTTTCTTTCAAAAAGTTATGTGTAAAATGGTGAGAAAGTGTTTCTTTGCTAATCAACATATAAACAAGATCTGTACATGTTTATGTCAAGTGGGCGTAAACTTATTAATTTATGATGACACTATTCACAGTCTGTACGAGCCAATATACCGGCCAGCATTTCCGCGGTTACCGGAATTTTACGGAGGATTACGTCATTTCTAATCGTTGATTATAAATTTGACGCGAAATCCGATCTCTTCGAAGTGAAACTCGACCTCATTAATGACAAGTTGATTAATATTAATGAAGGTTCTACCACTGCTTACACATTAACAGACTTTTCAAGGTAAGATTTTGTGAGTCATATTGCTGACATTAATAACTTCGTCATTTGTTTAATCTAAATTATATAATAATAAATGATATATTTACTACACCAGATTTGAGTTGTGCTCTCCAGTATGCCGGGCGGAATGGTGTGGTCTTTGATTTTAGATTTTGAATTGGAGTGACAACAGGGGAAATGTTACAACTAAAAGTTTGATTGACCAAGAATGGCAAGAAATAGTGAAGGCTTGTATCTGTGCAGGCTATGACACAGCGCCACGTACATAATACGTAAGTTTGTCTTTTTTTTGAATGAAGACCATTGCCTGATTATTAATATATTACTTAATTTTATAGCCCTGCATATTGGGGAGTGTTCGATTTAACGAAAGAGAGCTTATGAATTGACTGTAACACTCAAGGAAATAGTTGTTTGATTTTTATCAGGTAAATTATTGCACGTGTTAAATGATGCAATCGATAAGTGCGTATCGTACGTTCAATTGACCAGTGTTATAACGTCGTATTCTGTTTACTCCAAATAGTTAACTAACGAACATCCGACGATATTAACACCCGATAATATGCAATATCGTTACGGACGATGAATTGGCCGCAGCAATCATGTGATAAAATTTTACTTAGAATTTTATTGCCGATCTAGTACTAGATACAATTAGCGTTAGGCAGTGAAAGAACCCAATTTTAGTAATAATTCATGACGCAAAATTGATGTTTGAGTTATATAAGCGACCATTATCCCATCGTCTAGCTCTCATGTTGAATATGAATGTTGAATGTTGAATGTTGTTCTGATATTATTGTTATACTTAAATTCCACGGAATTGTTCTTATCCACGGAATAAATAAATTCCCTTTAAATTACTTTCTTTCTATCGTTGATCGTCGAATTTATCGTAATTATTATAACAACGGACAATACTTGTTGCCTACAGTATTTCGAGACTGTTGTGGTGACAAGATTGAGTAGCGGGTGAAGAACTAGTGAAAGTTTGTCCATTCAGTTAGTAAAGCAATCGGTTGAAAGCGTACAGTAATTGGATAATATTTGGCGAACGACATTTATTTTTCTTATTCGTCTAATTAGTTATCAAATTAAAAGTGACGCATATTGATACATATAGAAGTAATCACGTGACCGTAAATTTTTGATGATTTCCCCCAGCATCACCATTATTTCTATATCTATAATTTAAGTTTAACAAAAAATTTAGCCAAATTAAATTTTGCTTCTATAATTTCACCCAGTCATGTGAACGTGAAATTTTCATGGTGATGCTGAAGTAGTTTTTTTGATGGGAAAAAAATACTGCACGCTTTTTGCATTATTCCCTAAATGCACGCTCTCACAATTACGGTCCCAAGGGCGTGCATTTAGGGAGAGTTCACTGTAACGCCAATATAGATTTTCGAAAAAAGTCTCTGACCACCCCTTGCCGATCGTTATGATGTTTGAGTAGGCACTGTATAAAAAGTTTTATTAATACACAGACTTTACTCCTTAAATATTTCTCGATTGTTGTCATTTTTGAATTTGCCCAATAAAATATTATGGCTTGTGTGGTGGCTCGTATCACGGGTCTGCCAATTTTTTTCGGTATTGATCTGCGCAACGCGTCAATTTCTCGACAACCGACCATCATTCAATTACTATTACGTTAAGTATGACTTTTATATTGTGTTCTTTGCAATTCAACGGTCCCCCGTCCTGTAAAACCTGAGGAGATTTGTCTGCCTCTGGTATGGAAGGCGAAACGGATGTATATCGGCTTTTTTCCGATGTGTAAGGTTTTGGTTCTTATATCCAATGGTTCCCCATTCTGTAAAACCTGAGGGGATTCGTCTGCCTTCGGTGTGGAAGGCCAAACGGCTAGCGTAGCAAGACTTGCATGGTTGAGTTCTCAATCTTCCACGTATTGACTTCGTTTAGCGACTTTATATTATCTGGAGAAGTTTTGGATTGGGCTGGAGTTGTCGAAAGCAGAAACGTTATTTAAAAACTCTTACTAATTTTTTTTTTTGATATTATGTTCTTTTAGGATCAATATCATGGTCTATATATTATATACATTAAACCTATTAGTCGCTATTGAGTTGATTCGCGATATTAATATATTACTGTCATTTTGTTATATCACTTATCTGCAGGCTTATGTCGAAGTGCTAAAAGAAATTTTATCAACCAATTTTAGTGCTTCAAAAAGATCGGGTTTACATATATTCAAAGGAAACGGGCAGAGGAAGCCTTATTCAACGCGTTAAAGGCCATTATATCTGAGAATGGCGAACAAGCCGCAACAGCTCAAAAACTGCTCGCCAATTTTAACGAGATTGTCAACTCCATAACTGCACTAGGCTTTGGAATGGTCTCCGCGTTTGCGAAGAGAAAATTAATACTCAAGCTGCACAAATTATACTACAAGAAAAAGTAGCCATCAGCTTGGATTGTAATCAATAATAATCTTGCATGATTTTTAGATGAAACCATCAGCCAAAGAGAAGCAGAATACATTGCGTCGACCTAGGTGGGAAAAGAGTATCAAGCCTCTAATTGACAAGTATGCGCTTGCTGTTGAAGTGAAGCCAGAATCGGTTTTTGATGATTATGTTCAGTCACCATCAACAAAAATTATCTTCGAAATACCATTCGAGGGCGAGTTTGATCTCAAAAAACATTATGACTTGTTATGGGTACAAGATATCTATCGGCGATTGTAGGTATACAAATACATTATTGCTTAGTATAATAATAATAATGAATTAATTAATTCCTGTATTTATTTTAGCACGTTATTATTTGCCTTATCTTTTAACATGCTTCGCGATGCAAATACATTGGAGATAGCTTACAGAGAATCATTTGTTAATCCTATAATTCCCAAGGCATTCGAGGATGTAAATGACAAGATTAGGTTCGAAATGTATGTTATTATATTCTGTATATTTTTAATTTATTGTATTTATACCCAATGTAACGAACTCTTGATTAACCGAATATAATATTTGCCTAGTGGAGAGATAGAGAGCGCACAACGTAAGCAACATCAAAAGGGCAAGAGCCTCGGGTAATGTTTGGGTCGAAACACGACGGGATTCTAAAGATTTACATAGTTCTTAGAGGTTGTAGGGAACGCAATGGTTGTGTATCTTAAAAAATATAGTAAAAATATGGAGAAATTGTTTAAGGGTTTGTAATTGTTAGATATTCATGTCTTGAATTCTTTATGCAGTAAAGTTCATGGAATTTTTTTATCTTTGTAGTGATGCAGTTGTCAATAATTTACCAGCGACAACACCACCTACGACGTAATGCAACAGAAGAACAACTTGACTGCCTTCAAAGTTTTGGTGTATTTGTGTACCGTACGTAGCGTTCATGCTGTACTTATTACCGATTCAAATTATCCATCATATTTTGCCCAGTCATTTTTAATTTTTAGAGCGTGAAACAACAATCTACACAGTGCACCGTTATAAAGGTTTGCACATTGTTGACATTCTTACAAACTTCACGATTCCGGACAACAAGGACCATGCATATGTACTAGATAAAATCGTAGAAAAAGTGTATTTTTTTAAGGTACAAGTCCTGGTAATCACTATATATAATTTTCGTTGATCTAACATTATATTTGGCATTGTAATGGATTATTACCTTAAGTTGCAGGAAATCTCGCGGAAGGCGCATAAATATACTCCCTCAAATAAAATCCGTTAGAAGCGTCACCAGCCCGAAAAAGCAATTGCAAAATGAATCAAGGATAGAGGAAATAATTCCCAAGAAATGATTATTTTCTTTCTACCTGTAACTGTTATCCGCAGTATATGATAGTGGTATTAGTATTGATTTTTCCGAGTTTTTCTACTATACCTTTGCATTTAATAAAGCAGGCCCCGAGGCCAATCTTGCATTAAAACATAAGAAATTTCTGAAGTGTTAAATCTTTTATTGTCACTGGTACTAGTACTTAAATACAGAAACTCTGACCTATACTCTCATCCAAACTGTCCTTGGCCCCACTACTCTCGTTTTCAACATTTAATATCTCAAAGAGGCAACTATTACTATTTCCCCTCTCAAGTCCAAATCCCTAATACTAAGCATGCATAACACATACACCTCATGTAAATTTATATCCTTTATTTCACTCTCAGTATCTAGGTTACATTAGTATTAGGTATCTGATGTTAAAATTAGCTGTAGCACATATTAATATGTGTAACTTGGAAATAAAGTCTCACACATCTGAGTGGGGTTTTGAGGTCTTTATTCAGCACTGTGCTTTGTGGGGTATCACGTTTGCAGTCTACAGTTGACGCTGCCTATACCGAACTGACCGGCTGGAGAATTTTAGTTCGTTATAACCAGGGCTTGCGTTATAACCGGATTTGTTGGTTAGGAAAAATCAGGTCTGGTGATTCTGGTTCGGTATATCCAAAGTTTGGTATAACCAGGTTTGGCATAGGCAGCGTCAACTATAGACCGTAACTTTATTTTGATGTGAAAAATTTATATAATATACCGATAATAATATCAAGAATAACGAAAAAATAAACATATATTTCACTCCCGTATAGACTCTCCTCATTCGCCTCCTCCCTTCTTGCCACCTCCACCATCCTCAAATGCACTGCCTCTTCCCTCAATCCTCTCGCCAAGCTTCTCCTCCCGTACACCTTCATCGATCTTCTCAGCAACTCGTTCAAATTTGTGGCGATGCTGTTTGGGGTTTCCAAGTATATGCTGCGGGAAGTTGTAGCTTCCACACAAGCTTCCTCGGTAAACCCCCCCTTAGCAGCAACGACCCCTATTTTGTTGGGGTGCTGCACCATCAAATCAACAAAACGCCGCACGATATCCCCACCTGTGAAAAAGAAAGAAGCTTAGTTTTATATATTTCGATAGTAATAAGTAATGATAAAAATCAAATTACCAACGACTTCTTCACCCGCTTCGCACTGGACATGGAATCTGCTATTTCCAAACTCCGCAGAAATATCCATTCCACTAAAAACGAATAAAATAATTAAAACCAATAACAACAAGACTTTATTAGAAAAACGAACACTGTAAAGAAACATTAAACAGTTTGGGGGATTGGGTTAGAAAATATCCCCATAGTTGCAAAAACTGTCTTACCTCCTCCTCGTTGTAAATTCCGCTTCTTCAAGTTCTTTTCCGATGCGCCTTGCAAATCGGTAGCGATTTGGTGATATTGATTTTCAATATTGATATAAGTAGTGCGCTGGGGACATTTGATTTGTTCGGGTAGTATGTGCGTCATATGGGACTGTCTGTTTTTATGTGCGTAATATGGAACAGGTTGGTCGTATGTGCGGTAAATGAAGGAGATAGAGCCGACGCGTGTTATATATATAGTCAAGGAGCGTGAGAATCTGATATATTGTCTAGTGTAACACCATGACACCATGACATCATGACACGATTGTTTCCGGTAAATAATAATAATAATATCAAAGAATTTTTACTGCCACGTATTAGTGAAATTTTTTACTGTATATACTATACTCCGGACCTGTTATTTGTATGATCTAAAAATAGACAATCCTTCTAAATGTTTCTGCCGTTATTGTTATCAATATCACATACGCGTGGCTTATCGTAATTGTCATCAATAAACACCTCCTAAATGTTTCTACAGCATGTGCCCATTGTCATTGTTGTATCATTATTATCGATATCATCACTATAGATTAGTTCAACTAACCAGTGAAAACTTTTTTACTGCGTATACTTCGGACCTTATTTGTATGGCCTCCAAAAATAAAAATCCTTCTAAATGTTTCTACAGCATGTGATCATTGTTACTGTTATATTAATATAGATCGGTTTACAGTATGTTATTATTAAAGTGTTTCTACAGCATATTAATATGCTGTTTATATTTACGCCTATCATTATATCGGATTATCAATATCACGCTTCAAAAATAAATATTTCTACAGCATGTGACTGTCTATATTTACTAGTGATTCTATTTGACTGTAAATGATTTACTTTAGATTTGTGTACAGTATAAGAAGTTGCCACATCTTGATAATAATAATAATAACACTAATACTAAATCTGATGATATTGAATGGAAGGCTACCCTCAAGATTCAGAAGTTTCAGATAAACAAATGCTGTTCTGCTCATTTCAAGGCATATTAATATTAAATTTCTTGACTCACTTGTAACTGTGAGAATTGTAATGCCAGAAAATGACATTAGCAGTCTTGTTGGTTAAATTAAAACATAGTCAAGTTTTATTAAATTGAGTCTACCTATTACTATGCATTATTCTCATTACTTTTTTTGTGCACTGTAAAATTCATTAAAATCAAGACGGACACTGAGGAATCTAAAATCAGTATCCTTGTGATTTGCGAGTTCTGCTAACAAATTTACTAGCTCCCCCTAAAAAACAAATTCGCGCGTATCTCAGTGACCAAACTCTCGAATTGTATTACGCGTAAGTTGTGAATCTTCAGTACTTTACCTTAAAACTGCTAGCAACCTCCCCGAGCTTCCTTTGAATGGGAAGGAATGCTTCCCGTGCCTCTCGTTCAGACTTTCCCTATGTTTGCAAATTAAGTGTCAGATAAATGCCATACACACAATCAACTTATACGAAGCGTCATCAGCGATCTACCTTTCTTGACGGTTGAATATTCGAATGCTCTCTACGCATCAACTCTTTGACTACAAAGTTATATAATTCATCCTAAAAGTGACAAAAATCAATTACAATTTGCAAAGAGCCTAGATGAATCGCATGGTAAATATTGGTAACAAATTCCTACCAGAACGTTCTTGTATTGCAATATGAACCCAATTATCTTCAAAACACTTGGTAAATAATCCTATGAAATTCGTAGAATGTAAGGCGATTGAATGAGACATCATAATTCATGCAACGTCTACATAGCATTTACCTGATCCGAAGTCCTCAAAAATCCCTTCGTTGTGATATCGTTCAAGTATCTATTATGCATCTCGATGAGAGAGTCCAAATCTCCACTCTTTTTGTTGATATCAGTCTCTAACACGTCCCAAGAACATCCGACCACTTCAAATAACAAGTAATACTGTAATTGGTACACAAAATGTATCATCTCACTACATACGAGACGGCTGTTGTTAATATCCTTTTCCATCTCTGGTATCTGCGCCAAAGTACGTGCACATGTCATTTGACGACGCCACGCAGCGGAAAGGTCGTGTTCAACCCGTTTTAAGCGCCAGAGAAAGCGGAATAATTCGGTATATAGAATCATTGCCGGTGGAGTAAAAATGGTGTTTATGGGCGAGTCGACGTGATAATCGAGGGAGAACACATCCCAGCCAACGTCACCTGCAGAAATCTGCGATTTAATTAGACAGGCAATTCGGCAAAAATTACGAATGTGCGAAAAATAGAAGGCATCAGTGCAAAGACATTTGGTAAACGTACATTGGCAAGACGAACATCTAAGCGTTGGAGAATATCTTGATCCTCATACTGAGCATTAGATGCACGGATTGCAGCTTCTAGTGTACCAGTCAGATTGTGACGATGTAGCGTATTTGCTGGTTTCGAGAGGCCGGACCTAATAATATGTCGAATAGTTGTTAATTACCCAGTCTAAATCCATCAACAGACACGTAATCCACATAAAAAATATATTCACAAGGTTTATACCCCAATTGATCCATAAGATACTGCACAAAGTCTCCCTGTCCAAGAAGCAGATACCGTTTCAATGCAGCAAGGTGTTCCATTAGTTTATACTTTGTAAATAAAATGTCCAATAACCGTTTACTCGTTTTTGTATACGTTGCGTCGATCGAGTGTTCAAGAGCAATGACGTCACCATATTTCAGAACTTGTTAAAAGCGAAGACAATTAATGTAAATACACGATCATGGCAGTTTAACAATTAGTTCACGCAAACTAGATCTATACCGGATTTTGTGCTTTTCCCTTTTCCAGTAACCAAGTCATTATCATGGCAACTGTATCTTATGAAATTTAATGATTTGCCAATGGAAAAAATCTGTAACACAAAAGTTTGATCAATTTCTCATTCTATCGAGTCTTAACAGCTTCTATACATAACAAACCTTCTTTGCCAATAATGGACTAATGAACGAAGGTTGCATATCTGTACGCATAAAGTATTTGTGCTGCCATAAATCTTCCTCTTCTACGGTCTGATCACAGCCAACAAAGAATTCTTCAAACGGATCTTCCAATTCGCCCTCATATATCCAGCTTTGGAGCATTTCGTAGAAGGGTTTTGAGACCTAATCGAAACCGACAACCAATAAGACCACAGAGGGCAAAAGTTGAACATTTTGTTGGTCTTGCCATATCTTGGTAACATCAAATTAACTAACCTCTTCTAGAATATGCTCCACAAACTCGTGCCTAAACGGGTCTCCGTGATTTGTATGCATGTAAATATATGACACCAGTGCGCCTCCCTTCTGCCTAGCACATCCATCAACCAACACAGCCATCAATCTTAATTTTTCTGCTGACTCGTTTATTGAAACAAGCATTCGTTTTAAAGACAATGGAATAGATTGAGTGGACAGATTAGTGTCGACCTCTTTGGTAATTTGTGATTCAAGAATGGCCATTAGTTTGTAATATTCTGTCAGTTCACGTTGTAATGCAGAACAAAAGGCCTGTTTCAGAAAATACATATAGAGCGTGTGTGAACAGAAGTGATAGCAATACGATAAGTGGTGAGAATAAAGAAAAGTGATAATCGAATGATCAACATGTGTATTAAATGAATTAGTTTATTTAATAGCAGAAAAATTCATTGCTTATGCATATCATGTTATGCGCATCATGATTAGCACCGTCTTACCTGCCCAACAAGGCCAATTGATATGTCATCAATACTGTCGTTTACGAAAGCATGAACTTTCCGGTAAAGACATCCCATTTCCGAAAGTCTTGATATTAACTCTCGAGTCGATCTTTGAACACCAATCTACGGACAAGACACTTGCATTATTAGATGTATAGATGTTTCTGATATACTTTGCTGGGAACAGAACCAAACCTTCGAATCGACCAAATATGACCCTGTCGTCTTATCAAACTTTATGTATTGTCCATCAATGCCTTGAAATACGAATACAATGTCGCGTAAAAGGAGAGCCTCAGATATCTCATACATGGCTATAAGGTATAATTGTACATTCGGTAACGTTTTAGTATTGTAGATCCATTATTACGCCCTCATCCCTAAATAACAAAATAATATATCCACGCAAGCGTACTGTTCTCTGCTTCTGCAACTTTCTTTTGTAAAACCACTCTGGGTGGTAAATCGTAGTACTGTTCATCTTCTTGCATATACACTGGCTCTTTTATTGTCTCCTGAATAGATGTTGGGTTCACATTTGATATGAATGTATTTTGCGTCTCTGTGACTTTACCCGTCTCGTGTGAGATAGATTCGAGACCCCGATGCGAGAATGTCTGATCGAATAACTGGTAGGAGACGTGATTTTGGCATTCCGGAATATGATGAAATAAAGAAGGGCACAAACAAGAATATTAGCAGCAAGATTATTGATAAGCATTACGGTAAAATGCAACGACATTATTATAAAACATACAGTTGTTGCTAATTTTGATGCATCTCCATCGTTTGATTGTTCGCTGACCGACATTAGGAAGTAAAGAACAGCCCATTTTCGTTTTAGTATTGTCTAATTAATGCGTATTAACGTAAGATTAGTAATTGTTTTAATTACTACACGATGCTTCAAAATGCTAGAGACTCTTCACCTGAGCTTGCAGCTTATTAAACAAAGTAGCGAACCGTAATGCTTTCGTTGAGGATTTGTTCTCTCGCATTACTTTAAATATGACATAAACATTAAATGTAATTAATCCCTCTTCTAGTGTCAATTCAGCGTAATAAACTTACATTTTTTCGTAATTAAATCAGATATATGCGCCTCGTCGCTTATCACAGAGGGAGTCATCCGACTATCAACAAATAAATCCATTATCAACTCTATGGATTATTACAAACGTTAAATTATCACAATCCGTGCGGCTAAACGGTACCAAGATCCAACAATTCTGTTTTCGCTTCCAACTTTTCTTCTTCACTCTTTCACACTTACCTTCCAAGTATTCTCATACAGTACTCAAACGTTCGTTGCTGCCTAACTCCTAGTACTTCCTTCCCTTCCTCTTCCTTTCCCTTCCCTTTCTTATGTTTATCAGCATTATCACGTATGTACTGCTTTACTAAAGCTAAGACAGCTCGTAATATGCGATCAGTCTCGGAAAGAGAGTCGGGCGTAGGTATTACGGGGGGTGTAGTGTTTCCAAGCATTAGTAATAGTGGATAAGTTATATGCTAATCGAAGAGACGCGTACGAAATTTGGAGAAACCCTGATTTCTGCAATTTGTATCGGTCATCTTCATGGTGTCGATCGTTCCTTAAAGAATATTAAATATTAACCGTTAATTAATCACAATCTGACCAAATTCGAAATAGGCACCTTGTCTAAATATCACATCTAATCAGCATTGTTTATGTGATGCTATCGAATAAAATGTGCTTAATTCGAATGGTCAGATGTGCGATTTGGGTTAGAATATTAATATTGAAACGTACTATTTTGATTCACAGAAGTCTTTGGCTCGCGTATTTCTGATCATCTGTTCAAAGAGATTTCTATCTTTGCATATGTATATGTAGATAGTACGAAATATATCAATATAATCTAGTTAACTTAATGAACAATTTCTTATAAGTTTACCATATCTTAAGGTTATACAACTTTGTGATTATGAATAGAGCATGTATGATTATGAAAGAAAAATCAATCATAAAAATTTGTTGAAGTGTATAATTCAATCAAATCCAAGACCCATTTTTAATGTTATTTTACTACTACTCTTTTATTAATATTCAATTATATCGCACATTCTCGACATAAACGGACGGAAGCAATTCTCAAATTTTCGTTATCCGTACTTTGATATTCTCTTGCTAAGCCCTGTGAAACACAAGTGAATATAATATATTATCTTAATCTGGATCATCGAGTCGTTACTTATGCGGATTATTTACCGGAGAAGACAAATTCGTGCTCACGTCGTCATTCAATTTCACATTCGCGTCTTTATTTGAGACAACTGGAAAAAGATTGGTAAATCATTTGGCGATTGACAACAAATTTGCAATGCGAATACTTTCACTCAAGAAGAATTTGAGAAAAAGATAAGCAGCAGCAAAGGAGAAACTTTTGGAACAGCAATTGTCTCTTTTTAGCCAGATAGGATACCTTAGATTTAAGTAAAAAAGAGATTTCTGCACTATCTGTTTGCATCTAAATACATTTGAGTGGCGATTACGCCTTGGTGTTCCACCTAGTACATAGTAGATGACGGAAGAATTTTCATAACGTACCTGGAAGCAATCATATACGCTGTGTATGGGAATTTATTATATCGCTAAGTACGTGATATTTAAACTGTTAATTGTTAATGACTACAGCAGCATAACAGTTATTTGATATGGAATACGATATTTCTATATTTTACATGACTAATATCGACTTTAATCGGACAGGCACGTTCTTGAACGATTGGTGTCTGTAAAAATATTTACAGTCGACGAGTATAATTAAAAATACCGTTTTCGGTACTAACTTTTTGATATTCCCGACTTTTACTGTGTGCGGTTTTCGATTTTGTCTACGGGATAATGTAAAGATTATAAGCAACTTTCTATCTTGCAACGCGTTTTTCCAAATCATTAAATGCACCCTGTCTTGTTGAAAATAGATTTAATAACCAATAAGAAAACAATACCTAGCCGTTACTTGCTTCAGATAATCAGCCATGAGATAATAATATTGCTTAATTATTTTCCGTCGATGTTTAATTTATCCTCTTAAACTGCTTCGTGTTTGCTGTTCTCTCTCTCTTTACTATCAGGCTCATAAGAGTACAGTCTAATGTACCACAAAAAAAGACTAGTGTTTTGTTCTACTTTCTCTCTTTTTTTTATTCTTGCCATTTTCTAGTGCGGTGTGAACACTCGTGTGCAAAAGTTTCGTTTTTGATACAAGACAAACTCGTTAAGACGAAGCTACGCTAAGCCAAAATTGCATCAAGCCAAAGTTTTTGCTGGTTTACCAAATTTTATTATAGCGTAAGCAGAAATTTATTGTTAAAAGATAAGCAGTTTCTTTTTCGCGTTTCGTTATGAACCAGCATTATGGCTGTATTGACTTGGTTTCAATTTTTTATTCGTTCAGACTTATTGCTTTCTCACCCGGTAATTTATAACTTTCATAATTATGCATATTTCCTTTACATTACCAATGACTGGATAATTGCACAAGGGCAAGCTGCGGGGGAATACATACTGTCTTGTATGAGACAGATGTAAGAGACATTTGGATTATCTTACGACTTTTTTCGAGTTTCTCGCAATTGGTCATTCCCTTTTGTTGCAACCAAACGCCTGAAAATTACCATATAAGCAGAAACGATATCATCTTGGATATACATGCCTGCAGTCTAACTGTAAAATACGCTTGACGTTCGTGTTGCTGAAATAGACCGCAATGCGTGTCTGCCTGTTGCATTTTTACGTTTTGTAAAACGGTTGTGATAGTGAGCTTGCTGAACAAAGAAAAACCCAATTGCGCGCAGGGCAGTTGTACATTCTAATCAGGAAATGTCTTCTGTATATCGCTTTTGACCGAAAATTTTTTAGAGAATAACGAAATAATTAACACCAATGGAGATGTGTAATTATTACGCTTTCCTGGCGTGTTTTAAAGGATTAAGAAATAACAATACCTCTGCTACGACTTTAATGTGACAATTTTTCCTAGCATCAAGTTGAAGCCATTATTTGGGACGGATGTTTGCTTAATACAATGGTGTAGACATTATTAAGCTCATTTGATCGGTTTTTTATGCTTTATTTGCTAATCAACTTTTGTAGTGGTTTGAGGATTGATTTTGGAATTAATTTTTTAAAATTATTAACCCGATTTATAGTACTTTGAATATAAATAGTATTATTTAACTAGAAAACAAATTCCAAATAAATTGGGCAAAATTTGATATAAATTAACTAAAAGAGAGGCTTATGTACAGGATATGATAGTTATGAAAAAATTTGTAACAAACTAAGGCAGCCCTATTGTTTGCCATACTGGCAAGCCTTAAATTGTAGTATTATACAAAATACTTGCATCATACCTAACGTTATTTTTCTGATCTTACTTATACAATTTATCTTGAATGTGATCGAGACAAAGCTTTTGCAATTGGTCAACGCTAACGTGAGTAACTTTTTGAGCTGACGTACAAACATTTCTATCTCAGGCGTTACCTTTAGAAAATTAACGAAAACTCTGAAAAGAATAAAGTCCTGGTGTAATGAGTGTAGTTATGCCTTGTCTGCTTAATATTGATATCTTGGATTAAAGTTTGCATCGCAATAAAATATGGCGGCCAGTTGTCGAATTGTATTTACAATGGAAAGTTAAATTGTTTCGACGTGTTGATTAAATATCCTCGTTTGAGGCGACAAACGATTATTTTATTTGCTAAATCTCGAAGTCAGCAATCGATTGCATGACTCAGTGTAAGCTTGACCAGCAGCGAAGGATTGTCTATGCGAAAGCAAAGATGCACATGGTAATATTTAACGCAAAGCAGTTTTACAGGGAAAAGAGATATTCACATCATTTCCGGAAGATTATTGCATGCAAAAACTTAGAATTTGCATAAGAAAAGTTGAATAAAATAATTGCAAATTGAAAACGGGCTGTTCCATGTACCGGAGAAAATTGCCTATAAATAACAAGTATCATTGATACCACCAAAAGACTACGGCTATTATGCAAACATCAGTATCGATATTTTTAATGTCAATATTGTAGAGTAATAAAAGAGTTTGATAGAAAAATTAATGTTTGCATTGGGTGGACAAGTTTCTAATGCAGAATGGATATTCTGTCTGCCGACATTCTGATTACAACACCAGTTGGAGCCAAGACAACATATTTAATTTTCCTATGATGACAATAATTACGGAAAGGTGTATAATAATAAATTATTTCTCATTTCAGTTGAGCCAGTATGGGCCATTAATTATTGTGAGAGCTCATCATAATTATATTGATCTTCTGGTATATTACTTACAGCGTATGGTGTGTAGTTGATTAATTGCGTCAATATTTGCTAAGACAAGACTGGGATTCTAACTCGACCGTAAATGACGGCCCGCTATGGCCGAAGGCCCGAATCAGCAACTGATGTTCAAAGTGAATTGTCATCCGAGTTATATACGGGCGGGTCATTCAGTGTTTCTTCTAGAAATAGAAAAGTGATGCTCTCTATATGTAGCATACGGACGTAACAGCTCCTTTCCGATATCCAAGATGTTTTTTGCGGTGAACGATAGTAAAGAATGACTCGGCATTATTTAATCTAAGAAACGAGTACGTTTTCCTCTTAATTGTTATTCGGTTGTCAAAATTCCTTACTGATAATATTCTTCATATCTTAAATGTTCGAGTTTTGCGAAATACGTGTACTTTTCAATCGCATTCGGGATGGTAAAACTTTCGGAATTGGTAGTATGATCTTTGATCAAAGTAAAACGCGGGGAGGAAAATCAGTTTGCGAATAGTTTCATCTGTAATCAAAGATTACCTTCATTTAATTTGAAAATAATAATGACGTAAACCTAATTTCAGATAGTGTCACAAGTTGGATTGTCCATATTTATCAAAGCGGCGTCCACATGACATCAATAATTGACACAAATTAGGAACGGATAATTATTAGATCCGGTGTCAGTTCCTCTAGTGTTAAACTTGTCATTAATCGAAGAATAAACCAGATCTACTTTATTTAATGAAAACATTGAATAATGAAAGAATTGTGTGGGAGTAGCGTTGCAGCAAAAGATATTCAGTAGTAATAGCAGCGATAGCATACAACAACGTTCTAATGTGCAAGCATAATTGGTAAAATAATTATTAATATTAATGGAAAAATGAACTTGTCAACAATTAGCGGAAAGGAGAAAAGCGGATTTGTTGCATACCAAAATTATGAAGCGACAAAAAAATACGGCAAATTTGTTTTAAAAAAAAAATTAAAAAAAAAACAACACACAAACAGATAAAAAAAAACAAAAATAACGATTTAAATTTATAAAAATAATACTACCATAAGTGGTAAGTTAACAAACAATAATAATACCGAACAATGACAAAAACAAATTACACTAAATTAAGTAGACTTGATATTCAAAGAAGCCGTTTCTAGGAAATAAAGTACTAAAAATAATGAAGAGCAGGAGAAAAATAAAATAGGTACACTTACAAAAACTGTTACTTGTCACATAATATGCCGGCAATTTTTTGCCTAAATCTATAATCAAAATTTTCCCCAATTATACCCGCGATATGACTAATACATAGTCAATAATAGCTTTTCTATAAAATTTATATATTTTATCTATCCCCCAATTTTACGAAAGCATAGTGTCCGTGTTTCCATGTCTGATAGTTTATGGTACTAGGGATGCATATTCTGCTGCTACCCAATTATGAACGTCGGCTTCCATGTCTTTTTGGTCTTTTCGTTGCGTCCAGTCAAGCAAGTCCTCTACCGAGAAAAACCATCCGGCGTCGGCGGGCTCTTCTGCTGTGATATTGTTATTGGTATGTACGGAATTTTCTGTAAAATTATTGGCAAGGATAATATGCGCCGTCGAAGATTTGACTAGTAGGACTAGCATCAATAATGTTCCTATGACTTGTAATTTACGGACAGACATTGTGATAAAATTTGATATTGCTTTTGTGAGTAGAAAGTCGGGTCCAATTTATATCTTCGTTGGAGACGTGGTGAGCACATGTATAAGCGATCTTTTTTATTTTTAAAAAAAAAAGCAAATATTATGAACTCGGATTAAATTGTTTCATCTGCATAAGCACATGAGTACAATTTATGCATATACACACATTATAGATAAGCACATTCACATAAACTGATGTAATTACAAAATGTTATACACTTTGAGATTCAGGGTGTGGGACCTTGCATCTAGAAAACAACGTAATTATGGAGTGGTAACTCAAATACTTCCGGTTCCGCCTGTTCCGTAAAAGAGAGCATGCAGAAAAGTTAACCCATCGCCCAACGTTTTGCTGCATCCTCTTAACAACATGCATCGCTTGTATTGATCGATACTTGATTGCATACACTAACCTTCCTTTCTCTCCAGAATGTTGGCAAACTATCAAACTATCAAACTAATACTTAGGTTAGGTTCTGACGCTTTGAAACATGACCCGATCGAATGACCTAATTAAACCGCTGCATGAAACTTTAAATGGTCTGATGTAACGATTTGACTGTTATTACGATCAAATTCTATGTATGACAATACAATGTTTGCTTACCGAGTTTATACTTAAAACCCCATTGCATGCACAGAATGTAAGGGTGCATGCAGAATAGCGCACATTTAAGGAAAACGCACATTTAAGGATAGCATACATTTAGGGACAGTAATGATTAATAGTCGATAATTACACTAGCCCAAATCAGTCTATTTGTTATTATAATCGACGGTGATTTAAATCTTTGTACGACAATAGTGTCGGGAACAAAAGCCTATTCTCAAAATTTCATAATAAGTTTGATGCTCAATTTAGAATATTGTTTTACGACAAACCATTGTCGGATGCAATTGATATGAATATCGAATTTTTGGAAGATGCGGAAGTAGTGTGGTGAGTCATCTTTATTAAATTGTTTCATGTTATGCTGCCATTTCATAATTAGGTCTTCTTTCTTGTCCTTTGTAAGGCACCGTTGTAACAATACTATTAATAGTAACGATAATGTTAACTAATGTCGCAAATAAACATTTATTATTTAAAACGATCAAATTGAATAATGAAAGCTGTTATTGCAATTATCAAGATCGCTGTCCATCGTCTAATATAACTACTATATTTAGCACTACTATTCTAATGTGTAAAAGTAATTAATGCTGCTTGTCGTTCAATATTAAGAGCTGTTCTGTTCTGTCGTGTCGATAAACACGAGATTATTTATTATAGAATATCTAATCACATGACGTGCATTTAGGCACTACAATGGAATACTATAGACGCGATGAGATTTACAGAATAAAGGACAATACCCTCATGGACCCGTGTTCTTTACTTAGTATTAGGGGTTTTGGGAGGGATTAAACTTCGAGAAGTTACACTTAGAAGTGTTGACTTAGGGAGGGATTACATTTGGGGAGATTGCACTTGACGTTAGGGAGGGGAGGACCACTAGCTTGATTTAGTTTTAATACTAATAATGGATATAATCTAATCGAAACTGTCTCCTCTTTATAAACATTTGCTTAAGATATAGAATATGTCTCTATTTCCGGGATTTTCCCTTACCAGTCAAGTAATTAGTGCTAAGTGGAGAAATACAAGAGTTACCCCAAAAACTTATAACGAATCATGTTAGAGATGTTGTATGACAGTCTGGATATGTCAATTCCGAATGGGCGCGTGCAAGTAGAAGTTTCCATGATCAATTTCCTTAGCGCAGCATGGGAGAGTGAAGCCATCGGAGACGCCAAAGTTACGGGATATGACCGTAATTTCGGAGATCTATACAAATTGAAGAAAAGAAGGTCCTTATTATTATGGTATTCATAAATTTGACAATCAACAGAAGCATAGGCACAATGGTCCTTTCGGATGTAATTTTAGAAAGTAATTCCTATCAATAGAGCAATATCGTATATCAATATTGTCTATGTACTCCTAATTTAATAATAATAACTGAGACAATTATTTTATAGTACATAGTTGCAAAGAATATACACGAGAATTCAATATATAGGCTCTCAATAATAAGTATTCTGACTGAACTTGTCAAGGTCTATTATCTTCATAGCAAGATAAAGATGCTCACTAAAACCCAGTTTTAAGCTGGCTGTTATTACTATATCGACAAATGCTAAATTTGAATGGTGGAATGTTACACACAAACCGAGATTTTCGAATTGTTGCTTTTCAAAATGCCTAAACTCGAAACTTTTAGTCGATTAAAATTTTAAACTGTAACTTTTATTCTGCCCTATCATAATTTTGCTCTAAACCCTTTAATATAAAAAGCCTTTAGTACCCTAACCATGGCGAAAACAATGTGCCGATGTGGTACTTGTTGAACAGTAAACAAATCGCGTGTCATATTTGTAACGATAAATATAAACAAATTTCACACCTTTGTTGTTATTACCAATGTCAGCTACTCAAACGTTCTCTCATTCAATGCAACCGTCAAATGTGAGCCTTCACTTTTCGAAACCAACACCAAGCATTTTGCTGATTATGTACTATGAGCGTGTAAGGCTTCTTCACTTTTCAGCATAGATATCTCATTAAGGCCTTATAATTTCTCACAAATTTGTCGTTCATATTAATGCAATAGTGACGATAAGACGCGTTTACCTTGTTATTTGTGCCGTGGCCGAGTTGATTTTGGATGCTCCGACCCGAACATTTTCGGGGTACTAAAATGCCTTGAGGTTTTAAAAAGTTATCAAAAGAAAAAAGTTTGCTAATATTGACGCTGACCAGCTCATCCTATGGAGAGTCAATATCAGAGTCCAAATTCTATTTCTATTTCGCACCGGTGAGTCATAGAATAAATTTTTTGCCTTCCTTGTCATAATACAAATACTTACTCTTGTGCTTCTTATCGTCAAACCCGTTCATATTATCCTGGAGCATTTCGATTCTGATGATGTTAGCCAACTCAATAAGCGCGACTCTTCATAGCCGTTTTGCGAATGATTTAAAAAATATGATAAAAAAGCTTGACGATAATAATTCGAGAGGACAGAACTTAGAGCCTGATTAAAAATTGGATCAACCGAGAACAGCTTTAGGTGATGTGTACTTCCTCAGTCAGTAGTGCCGTAGAGCAGGGCTCAGCACATCTCACTATAGAGTGACGTGCTTGTATGTTATACTTATAATAAGGTGAATGGCTACCAGAAAGGTTTAATTTTTGCATAGTAAATTAAAAACCCAACTAACGCACAAATACGCTTTCAGACAATATTACTATGCATCAAGAAACATCGGAGTTTGACGTTTCCTATTGTTTCCTATTGAAACGAAACATAGAGATTTTAAAGTGACGAAAGAATTGTCAGCACGTTCGGAAGTATCAAAAATCCTGGGTCCACATTGCAGTCCCGGCGAAAAGAATGGCGTAGAAATACCGCGTCCTTTTACTTTTTTTACATCGTCATTTATCCGTACACTACCGACAAAAAGTGGAATTCTTATAAACGTGGGATTACGTTTGAAAATCAAACAAAAATGACTTATAATCTTATATTCAATTAGACAAGTTATATTTGGGTGTTGTGTTAATGACGTCATATGTGTTAACGCGCAGATGGCAATCGAAAATAACCATCCATGCTATACATTTTAATGGGATTGGAAATAGGTATATGATACTGACCTTCATTTATGATATAACTTTTAGGCGCGTTTTTTTAATAAGCTTTAGACATTGATTTAGAGTAAGAACATTATCTTGACTCGGCAAGGAACGTTACAATAACATTGTGTACGTGGGGCTTACCCACCGAGTAAAGTATCCCTCAGAAAAAGGATAACATGTAAAATACTTCTGCTCGCTTGTTATAGCAATACATGCTGCACAGTCATGATTGTGTAATTTTAGACGGCGCTTGCTCAATAGGTGTAATGTAAAACGGCTTGACGCTGAGCTTCAAATCTTATGTTCCGACAGAAAGTGAGTATTATTGAATATTACTTCGAGAACAAGTTTATTATGAGTTAAATTAAATTTGCAGTAATTTTCCTTATTCATTAACATAAAAATTCTATTTACGAACCGTCAGTTTTGTTGGTTTTTCTGTTACACACCGTATATACACTTCACCTCATAGCCTTCTTGATCTAGCATTAATTCCTCTTGCCCATCCTTGTAACATCCCATGCTCGCTATTCTCGACAACGACTTCTTTTAACACTGGAAAGTCGGCAACGGTTAAGGGGAAAATCATTATAGAATTTAACCCTTGACAGTTTATAAATACCAGTTTCTTCAGATTTCTGCACAACGCTAATTTATGAAGTGGCTCCGAGTGGGTGAAATCAAAGCCATCAAACCGCACATAGGATAGAGTCTTTGACTGATCCGAAATAGCTTTGTGAATGAAATTGAGACCCATGCTGGTTGATATCATGGTTACACATAAAGAGAGAGTCACCAAGGATTGTTGTGCAGAAATTAGAAGTGAGAGGTTGTGACACTTTGTCAAGTCTCCTGTTATACTGTCCACTGTTATAGAGAGATGTTCCTATAAACAGTTGATCAATTAGATCATCGGCCATTGCAAACAATATAGCACCAGTCTTCAATTTACCTACCACGCGCCGACATGTTTTTGCTAAAGCTTTGTATAACTCATTGTCTCTACATTCTCCATCAATAACTATCTTATTCGTATCGGAAACCAACGTTTCATTTTTGTCACAAAACAACGCAATCGCATCAGCAGCCCTAAAGTAATACTGCCTGCTATACTTCATAATCAAACTGAGCACGTTCAACCTTGCCGAATACCGATCAAACATCTTCAATAGCGCCTGTATTATTTGATTCATCTGATTAGAAAGAAACAAATCCATGGATACACTACTGTCAGCAATAGGTGCGGTTTTAGTGCTATCAACCCAAGCTCCAACAGACTCGAACATGGCATACAGATCAAGTTCCTTTATAAAGTAAGGATAAGGAAGCACGGTAGACAACCACATCGGAGGCAATTGAAATCGAATTTCTGATCTTTCTTCTTCGTTAAGTAACCGAATTAGGGTCGATGATTTCATTATTTCGCCGTTGACTGTTGCACTCTTTTTGAAAGGTGTCCTCCAGTAAACAGGTATTACGATGTTCGCCCAAGCTTTGTTCACTAGCATGCATGCCCTGAGGATGGTGTCCCATTGCGGATCGCGATGGATGTATTCGATGATTTCACGGAAAGCGGCTGTTGGAATACCAATAGACATCGTTTTGAAAAGGAGAGAGATACGAAAAATTGCATGTCCTATACTAATACTACCCCATGTTGGTGTTACTATGCACTAGGGATGTGATCGCCGGCACACGACGTAAATAACCTTATTTGGGGGGTAGGCTAACTGGTCAGCGTCAGGGGACATATGTCCCAAATTCGAATGATCTGCTAACAATGGCCCATTTAGCACCGAAAGATTTTTGCATACTATTATCGACTTGAATAGAATCAATTATGCGGTTGGCGTAAAGGACACTACTAAGTTTTTAGTACCATTGTCGAACGATACTCATTAATGTTGAGCCAAAACAATTCAGTGCGTAAAGCGCGAATCTTAGCAAAACATGCTCGGATACAATCTATTTAATTCTTCTTCGCCATCTTAATACACATACATAAACAGAACCCACTAATGTTTCGTATATATACAGAGATTGTTTATTCAAGTGACGTTTGAACATAAATGGTTCTACACTCCAGAGAGAGCTTGAAATGCTTTACGTAATTTAGCAAATTGAGCAATCACAACTCCAAAAGCATATTCAGTTGAACCATTATGATTATAAGGATATTCCTATATTAATATAAAATTGTTGCGTTTCAAATGCCTAAAACTTGAATCTTTTTTAATTTTTAAACTGTAACTTACCGAAACATATCATTTTAAACTGGTTTTAGGATAAAATTTTTGGAAAAAAAAAGTTATTTTACGGATTAGTTTTCTCTAAACTCACCAATTTTAGGGTTTGAAAGGGAGTATTTTCTCCCATGCAATCGCTCTAGTAAATCTTTGATTTTTTAAAGAATAATAACGATGTCAATGATAATAGTCCCGTCCAAAAATTTGCTGCAAGATTAAGAATGAGATTGAAGGCCTCGGAAAGGGCACCATGACCTTTACGACTCCCAGGACTAAATTTTTAAAAGTTGATAAAATTATGGGTGGGAAATAGAAAATTTTGTAAAAAGTTTGTCAAATGTTTAGCTTAGCGAGCAGAACAGGGACAGTTATTACCTGACGGTACTGCCATTATTTTTGATATTAATCCCGAAACCAGAACGGGTCATAACATGATTAGAGAAATGACAATCAATGGTACATTACGACGTGACTAATTCTACGGGAGTGGCTATAATAATCAACTTTACCTCTTATATGAATTGCGCAACTACTAATATTTTTTGTTGTTCTGCTAATTTCGTATTTTTGTTGCAATAATTTCTCTAAACTAGATGTTCTTTGAAATTTTTCAGTAAATTTTCCGTTTCTTCTTCCTTACGCGCGTTGTACTGTAAGCAGTTCCAAAATGTTGACATAAATCCGTTCTTGGACTTATAAGGCGTTAATTAGTGCCATAACTTGCAAAACGCATCATAGTTTAACAATCTCAATGTGCTGTCATTTTTGAGACCTGCGATAGACCGATTTACAACTCGTTTTGGGTAAGCGATTGAGTAATGCGATTGACGTTTCTACAGGACCTGGTAATCCATTATTTCAGCTTCACAGCATTGCCTTTTGATATTCAGTAGAAGCATCGTATTCGCTATTTTTCATATACGTACGTATAATCTATATATTAATTTTATCACCATGTAAATTTCACTCAGTATTTTATTTTGTCATTTTCCTTTTGTTTTTTTATTTTACTTTTCGACATCAAAATTATCCTACTCTGCTAGCCATTACTGCAAAGAATAATGTTCATTTGTAAATAGATCCTGTACACATTATATTGTGTACTTCTTTCTACTGACAAAGAAAATGACGTATCTTAGTTAATGCCTCCAACACTCTTCTTCTTTGTGCAGGATTCGCAAGATCCAATCCGTCCCGTCTACCACCTTCTCCCGGCCATCTTTCAATAACAACTGAATTTTCTACCGGTAAACCTTTATCAAGTTCTTGCAAATATTCTACAGAAATTACGGCTTTGTAAAACGTAACGCAACTCGAAATAACGCGAACAGCAAATATGAGTTGGCTTGTATAGTCTTTTTTGTTGTCATAAGCTTGTATATTCATGCTCGCGCAACTTAGCATCTCTGCAGCGATTTGCGTTTCCCCAAAACCCGTCGTTGCGTGAGCGTTTTTGAAATGCTTGTATTGGAAGCGAGCTATAAATACGCAGCGCAGTTATAAATACACACGGACTCGTCAAACATTGTAAGACACACACCTCTATAACCGCGACAGTGCAATTTTCCTTCTTAATGACAAACTCGGGGACTGCCGACACGTAAGGCTCGCCGTCAATAAACAGACAGTATTGCGGATGCACGCTAATTGATAATAAACATTAATAATTTGAGTGTACCAGAAAAAGACTAGTTCGTAATGCTCACTCGGTCAATAGAGGCCAGCAATCCATTTTCATGGCGCGAATCAGCAAATGCAGCACAAGCGAGTCCGTCAGCAGTTCAGCCGTATCTCTCTCGGCGCCGGCGTTCACTACGACCCGATTTAATTTGCGGATAAAGGTATTGACGTGATTATTAGTTATGCCGAGCTGGTTAATGTCGAGGTCTTGTCTCTCAAGCACTTGACGGTCAACGCCGGGAACAACGTATTTATCTGGAAAGCCTCGGGCTACATATTTGAATTGTCAGTATGAAGTTACGTTAATGGAAATGTCGATATCCTGGTACCTTCAACCGCAGGAATAACGTTGCTTTCGCTGGCTGTTTGGTATCTTACTTTTAGGGCGTCGATATCTCGTCGCTTGAAGGAGGAGGCTGAAGAGTGGAGGAGCGACTCTACGCTGGGCCTAGCTCTTTTTGTGGACATTGCGAGTAATAAGAAAATGCTGTTGTTTTCAAGAGAGAAAAGGTAGACTTGATCAAAACGCGCAGTAATGTTGACGCTACTGCTGCGATTGGGCACAAAACGTTCACGTGCCCTACTCTGATCAACAAGTAAGATAGTCCACGTAAAGCGCATTTATTTGGTATTCAAGATAAAGCAGTCCCGCGCGAACAAATTAATTATGTTCTCGATGAAGTCGAAATTATTGGCGAAGGTCCTAATGGTACCCTGAGCATGGTATTCGATGAAATTAAAAAATTGAATAAAGTAGATTACTTGTGACAACGCGGGTGGACAGAATAAAAACCAATGCTACTCAACAATTTACGGTTATTACAAAAGTGTTGAATTGAATTTATGATGTCTGGACATACTCAATTTAAGTGTAATGTTAAGGGTTTAATCTTTTTGGTAATTTCCGAAACATTTGCTTTTCTAGTTTTCAATAAATTCAGGTATATACAAATTAGCGACTAGTTGAGCTTTGACAACTCCAGTCTAAGTAATTGCTCCGAATACAAAATGTTGATTTTTTGTAAGCCACTCAATTTTTTAACGAAAATTTCCAACATAGAGTTAAAATCTAAGTATTGAAACCTTTTCCGTTGTCGTAACGCTGAGCTTTATTTAATCCAATTTGTACTCGATCTTTCACAACCTCAACGATATGATTCATACAATCTACTACTACCGTTATTTTTCTATAGAGCTTTTTAATCAATCCAAAACTCTCCATCCTAGTACTAACTTTTCCTCCTGGGGTTATAAAGGACAAGAATATTTTTATTATAATTTCACTTGCTAGAGACAAATTTAAAGACATTAATTGTTCACCACCAATTTATCTAGGTAATGAATAAATATCAACACGCATAATTTTTTGTTGTCATTAAACATTTATTTATATGTCTTATTGCATTTCTTCACACTGCAATTATTAATCATATTACGTTTAATTTTTCAATAACATTGCTACTTCTCCACCTTAATTTTTAAAATTAATAAAAATTTTTATTAAAATAATTATATACTTAAAGTATTTTAAAAATAATAAATAAAATAACAAAAATGGTAACACATTAACAGAACTTCAAGAAACAATAAAACTATTAAAAGAAACCAACAATTAAGGATAATTTCTCATAATTGTTGGGCCACAATATTTGATAAAAAGTTTGAAAATAAAAACCAAGCTTTCAAAATTAAGGAGTATGAAAAGAATATATCGAGATTGAAGAACAAGTCAAAGATGCGAAAAAAAAACTAGCAAACCTTTTATTAGTTTGACATAAAGAAGAAACTCGAAAAGAAAAAACAATTGGGGCAGTTGATGTGAAAAGGAATAATGGGATTTTTGGCACAAAGTAGCGTTAAAAAGATTAATAAGCAGAACTGAGGAAGAACTAAATGAGGTTATTTTTGAAGTATTAAAAAATTGGAGGAGAATCTTAAAGACCGCACTGAGTCATTAGAGCTGAGTGGAGAATAAAAAAATATTAAGCAAAAGATATCAAAGAAAAAAAAACTCAAAAGTGCTAGTGAATTTCTTATTATTATCCAGAAGCCCGAGTTGAAAGCTTATAGGAAGAGTCGAATCAAAGGGCAAAAGAATAGAAGCTAAGTAAGCAATTGTCTGATGGTAAATCACGAAATGCAAGCTTAAAGAGTTTACACTACTTAAACAGCAAACCTTTGCCTGCTTTACCTGTTGAAGAAGAAAGTAAACCATCCTCAACTAAACAAGCACGTTTAAGCAATTAAGAACACAAACAAAGATTAAGATTCAAGAATTACAAAGTCTAATAAAAAAAAAACAAAAATAACAAACCTGATTATCAAGTAAGAGTCCATAGTAATAGTAATAGTAATAGTAAAGTAACTGGGGAATAAATTTTATATTTTATATTTGCTACAAACCACTGGTTTATATCTACTTTTGATCAAATTCCTAATTCTGAGAATTTTTGGTTTTGCAAACTATTTGTTCACATTGACTTTATCGAAACTCTAAAAGCCTTGATTTGGCCCAAGTTGCCATGTCGTTTTCTTTGTTACTGCATTATGATATCCGAGTAACAATCGTGGTATGTATTCCTTTGTTGATAGTTGATGGATAAATTGGTTCTAAATTCGCTCATATCTCCTCTTTTCGTTACTGTTTCCGTTCTAACCATTCGCGTGCTTTTAAATTGCAGACAATTATTTAACACAGCATTATTCAATTTTCGTTTTAATTATAACGGAAGAAGAAGATGTTCCGCAGGGAAAAGGTCCAACAAGCAAAAGCATGTGAATAAAATGAATTTCCTATCGATTCATGGGTGGCTTGTCTTTTGATCGATTCTCAGATTGAATAGTATAATTTTGTACTTGAGTAGACCGTTAGAGAGCCTATTATGATAGAGTGACTTTTTTAATGCAATCCAAATTTATTTATCAATCATAAAAACACATAATAATATATCAACGCAATATGACGATCATGAATTGTTGTGGTTAGATTGTTCGGCAATAAAATGGTATTGGTTGAAAGTCCGAAAAAAAAAAAGGTTGCAAAATGCAAAATAAAATCCGTAGCTAAAGCCTACGGTTGGGGCATCAATCCCATGTATAGACAACGACAAGTTTATATCGATTGCATTATCTCGTTCTGACTTACCAAAATTGACTCCAGAATGTTTTGCGGCTGCATGTAAACACCCATAAATCACACGTCAGAATTTGGGTCACTCTCATATGATGACGGATAGTAATCACAGTCATCCATCCTAGATTCTATGTCCACATTTTCCGAATATATATGCCATAAATTTCTATCGCTTTCCACCTCATTTTTATCATCATTGTCTGCGTTCTCATCTTTGGGCTCACCCTTGGATTCATCCTCACTCTCATCATCATCTGTAAATTCTGCCTCTTCACTTTCATCACCATACTTCATGTTTATATCATCTGCCCAAAGCCATATTTTTAAACTAGCATCACCACACTGACTGCTAGGGTCAGTTGTTATATTTACTTCGACTAAGTTAGGGAATTCGGTAGAGATAAGTAGATCCTCAATGCAGGAATCGGTTAAAGTACAATGTATGAACGAGAGACATTCAACGTTTCGACAGCTAGCTATGTCGCTAATAACATCTTTAGTACGAAACGCCTGGTGTTCAAAACGAAGGATACGTATTGTGGGAGCGTGTTTACGTAGTGGTGCTGTTAGTAAAGGCGTATCGTAATACTGGCTACCGAAAGAGTGTACGCGATAGCATGTGACTGTTTTTTGAGCGTTAACGAAACTGCAGAAACTTTCAAGCTCATTAGCGGGATTTTGGGTAAGGTCTGGATTGAAAAAGTTGCATTCAATCCATCCCTAATAGATTGGTTTAGCGATGATGTGATAATAGACAAAAATTAGTTATATCGATTGAACGGTCTATCAATGAGTTAGTTACGTAATCGGTTTATGGACATACACATATATAAATATATATATATAAACATATGCATATATACATTTACATGCATACACACACACATACATATATATAATTAATATATAAATCTTGTTGGAGCTGGACACTAGTCCTTGATAATCCCTACTTACGACTTGCTGGCATGTATCTTTGAATTTCTTAAAGAACTGTTCCTTCGATACTTTAGTGTTCATAATTAACTTCTTGGTGGACGCGAAGACTTGTCTACATGTTGGATTATTGATTGGTGTAATATGCTCTTCCGTTACTTGATCTCCTTCTACTCGCAGACAATTTATTCTGGCCCCATATACGTTAAACACTTCAAGTACCTTTCCAATCATCCACCCAGACATTATTTCCACCATCTTTGATGCAAGCGGTCTGACTTGTGGTGCTAATACATTACGACAAAGTTGTGCAAGAGGCACAATGTCAAGCTGTCGGATGTATCGAGGATATGGAAATAATGGCGGTTTCTTGAGTAACCGCCGCTTCAATGCTCGGTGAGGTCGCGTGAGCAACACTTCTTTGAGTTTATCCTCTTCTGCAAAAGACAGAAGAGTATATATTGGGTTTATAGGTCCTTTTTGAAAAGGCGCTTGCCAGAGTATAGGTATTGCTACCTCACTCCAATGTTTGTTCACGTATATGCAAGGGAGAAGTAAAGAGTCATGATTATCTACTTCTTCATGTAGAAAGTTGAAGATTATACTGAGGGGAACATGCGTCAACTCTGCTGCTATCGAGACTTGGGAACACATGTTGGCTTTTTTGGAGAGTCGTACGTCTAATGAGCGAACGTTCGATGAGAATGAATAATGAAATAATGTTTTAATTATGTACTACACTCCAATCGTCATTTATACCATACACGTGATCTAAGGACGATTAATACAGATGTGGAATACTAAAACAGAGACACGCTTGTTAAAAACTACTGATAAAGCGTTGGTTTCATAGATTTGTTTGTACACCATTATACGCAGCCGTTCTTCGTTTTGGCTAATATTCTGCTTTTCTACTTTTCTGGTCGATATTCATATTAATTATACTGCGCTCTCACCAGTTCATTGAGCCAGCCGAATTTGGAATCGGGTTTAGATATTGCTTAGCAGCTATATTACGAAAAAAGTAATAATCAAAAATTACACTCACCAATCACACTGTCTCTATCACAAAACCATCACGTATATGTCCTTAAAAGGTTATTGGACCAAATTTGGTATCGAGCCCGTCGCCGGATCCATCAAGCCATCAGACGGCTAGATGGGTTTACCTTTTTTGCTATATATTACCAGATTTATATTGCAATTTCCAAATTCGATTGGCCCGATGAACTGGTGAGAGAGCGCACATTTTCTTATGAGAGGCTAATGTGGCAGGAGAATTTTTTGTAATCTAAAGTGTACTAGGATGGAAACGATTTAATTTCTTTTCCTAATTTTAACAAATTAATCCAGTAAAAGCACCATTAGCCACCAGCTGAGCTCTGACAACTCCGGGATTAACTGCTTCAAAGAGGAAGTGCTGATATTTTTGTAAGCCACTCAATTTATTAAAAAAATTTTCACTCAGTGGAAAAAAGTCATCGGACACTTATTATTTAAACATTAATGCAAAATGGGAATATTTTTTAATAGCTTGTTGGACCCCCACACCTCTCAATACACTCGTGAACACGCCTGGGCATACTATCGATCAACTTCTTATAGGTTTTCCTGGGAATAGTTTCCCACTCTTCTTTTAATGCCACATATAATTCGTGCTTATTTGCGGGGCGTAAATTTCGTTTTCGTACTCTTCTTTGTAGTTCACCCTATAGATTCTCAATCGGGTTTAGATCAGGTGATTGTGCGGGCCACTCTTAACCTGTCATCCAGTCCTTTGTATCTTTGGCAGTATGGACGGGCGCATTATCTTGTTGAAAAAAATAACGGCGATGATTGAATTTTTTGTAAATCCATGGCAATAAGTTGCTTTCCAAACTTTGTGTATATCCAAAGTGATTTAATTTGCCTTCTACTAGTACCCAAGGACCCAATCCCGTCCCACAGAAACATCCCCATACGATCACGCCACCTCCATACTGTAGGTACAAGGTTTCAGGTTAAATCTTTTACCATTTTCTCTCCAGACACGCTGTGTATGTGGGCCATCACGAAAGAGACAAAACCCAACCATACTTCTCCAGTACAGAATTATGTTGTGGTCAACTACAGGAAAAAAGGACAAACGCCAGAGCAAGCAGGGCCGTTTCGTCTTACTAATTCCACTTCTTTGCTTTTACCATATGTATAGTTGTTTTATCACAGGATCCAGACTCAGATGTGGATGTTGTCTCAGATGCTGTATCGTTAAAAATTAACTTATTTCTTTTAGCCTTACATGATGTATGATTTCTTCGAGAAATATCTGGATTTACTATCAGGTTTGTAATTTCTTGACGAATCTCGGGTTTCACTATCTCCAGTAATCGGTGAAGAGAGATCCAGATTCTTTTATTTGATATGCCTAACAATATTGGATATCACACTATTATTCTGAGATTTGTGGCCATCTCCATTAATTTCCATTCCCAAACGTTTAGCAAATTTTTCGGTTATAGTTGACCAGTTAGTACCTGAATCTATAGTAGGTTTGGTTGTTTTCGATGTCATATTATTTATTAATACGAATTTAAAAATGCAGAATTAAATATATTGTTATAATAAAACATCACAATGATAACCGAAATCAGGCCTTTGGGTAACTCTATGAGTCATAAAATACCAGTAACAGTTATACTAGATTTCGGTGCTAATTCTAATATTATAGGCGAGAGTATAGCAAAAATAGTAGGCTTGAAAATTGATAATACATCCGATACAGAAATATACAGTCTCATTAGTGAGCTCAATATATTGGGAATAATTTGTGCAATGGAAATTTCGGTCCAGTCTCAAGATCGGAAATGGGAGCAAGTAAAACTTACTGATGTTTTCGTTACCAATAAACTAAAACCCGAACTTGAATATTGGGTCAGCCATGGTTACAGGAAAATGCAATGAAAGTGGACTTCCCAAATAAAACTCTTACATTGCTCGATGGAATTAGTTATAGGTTAAGCGTAATTGAGAATATCCGGAAAATTCATAGCATATACGCCTAAAATTAATTATCCGAACATTAGCTGTTTTTTCTGATTAAAGACATATAATAATATATTACTTGAGAATGGTGTAACTGAATATATTTGATTTACCAGAATTGCTAGAACAAAACTTATATTTTCTAAAAATCGACTATCTCGCTTTATTTGTTAACCATCTTTGGTATCCGGGTCGAAAGATGCCTCGAGCTCTTACTCGGCAATTGATAAACTTTAAAAAAGTCATGTGTGGAAAGATAAAGCCAACCTATTGCGCCAAGATAGTATCTCAGATTGGAAGGTTTAAAAATCTCAGATGCATTGATTAGTACGATTCTACACTCCTGTCCAGATATACGCACTCTTATTCTTGACCAAAGTGTTAGTTTCACTAATATACCAATTATAGAAATTGCGAAATTTTCACTAATCGATGTATCGCTGAAATTGCTCGCTCATGCCCAATACTGAGACATATTGAGCTTGGAACTGTTCGATTAGTAATAAAGCTGTCGAGGAAATAGCCCGCAACTGTACTAATTTGAAATATCTCAGTTTGGGAGGGCATAAAGGAATTAGCAAAGAAGTAATGAAAAAATTCAATCCAAAAATTAAAATCGAATATCCTGATTATTCAAATGAAAAGTCCAATTCTAATCTACCTCTACACATTCCAATCTTTACCGATGGAGAAATGGGATAGCTTTAACCAGGTCCTTTAAAGACTACTCTTTACTCTTTGAGTCATACATCAGATGAAACAGATTTTATTTCTGCAATTATTAATTATCTCAGAGAAAATCCTCCAACGCGGGTTATAAATAATTACATTTATTAGTGAAAAATGGGTAATTATTTATCGAGTTATTTTTTCAGTTATAATATACATTAATAAATAATATTTAACATGGTCTTCATAGAAACACTCGTAGAAGGAAAAATTCCAGTTAAAGCGTTAATAGATACCTCATTGAAGTTTAATACTATTAGCAAGAGCTTGTTCGATAGGCTTGGAACAGATTATGTAATAAGACCAACTTGTGATCTGGTTAAAAACCTCTATGTAGATGCAATGGGTGTTTGGCAACAATACAACAATAAATCATACTGAAATCATGTGACACATTAATGAAGATCGGTACTAGTTTATTTCAAAAAACGAACGCGTTGCACTTTTTTATTTTATTATTCATTTTCTACATTGCATAATCAATTTCTTTATCTATAATATCAAATCAAAACTCTTATCACTCTAATCTAAATACCTTTAACACTTGACGTACTGTATTTTCAGAACGAAGTATTGACCCGTTGATTTCTTCTAATAATTCGTTAATTCATCCTATGGAAACACTACCATCATATGACGATTTTGTGAAAATAAATTATGATCATAAAGAAACTGGATAAAACTTACATGGAATATAAATATCATTCTGAGAACTGATTTATATTGATGCTTTCCGCTAAAACTGAAGGGAATGACGGCGGTGGCAAGTTTACATGACAGGAAGCGTCCATCGGGGAGGATATTTAATGAATATAGTGTTAATCGAGAATCTGAAAAATGGGAACAGGTTATCATACATTGTAGTGATTAACAAAACTAATAGAATATAGATCTACTTACTAATTGATAGTGTACTGAACACTTTATCCTTGTGGCAAGGTTGGATATCACAATCAAGGTGTTCCCGCAATATTGCAATTAGATTTAGGATATCTGTTCAGAATGTTTTCTTTGAATCACCTAGAACGTGTTTATTGGGTGTATTATCGGGAGGACCTGCAACTTCTAGATGCCAAGCCCATCGGAGAGCCTTGTCGCCTTTGCACTCACTAGAACAATGCCAGAATTTGATTCCGACTTCATCAGTTTTGCCGGACGGGAATGAGACTCAATCCAATCAATATCCAAGGTTAGAAACGTTCTTTCATAAAATTTGAATAGTGCTGATACTTGGTAAATTATATGCTTTCGCTCGCCCATTTTTCTATCCAAAGTGGGACCAACATCTACAAAATTGTAGCTAAAGGAAAAGCAATTGTTGGCAGTTTCTTTGATGGGCCAATAGATATTAATGTCTACTTACAAGTCGGTGATAACATTTTCACAATATAGGCGGAAACCTTCATCCATGTCTTTATAATTCTTATTTCTAACTGCATTCTTAAACTTTTCATCAGATTCCTTGAGAGTCGCATTTATATACTCTTCTAACGCAGAATTCCACACAACGGGACTTCTATCACGCATAGAGGACAATTCTTTGGTGAGTTCTATGCCAATTTTTGTTTCCAATTCTTTGGCTGTTAACGCAAATGCACATACAGTATAACGGAATTTTTTTCAGTGTAACTATTATATAGAAGACCAAAATAATGTTAGAATGATTTCTGTTTCCAGGCAACACAACAAGCAGAAACTTACTCCCGAAATTCTTTTTTCTTTATTGGACGTTTGTTTGGTGTATTTAATAAATGTGCTAATTCTCGAGGAATTTGTGGTGGGGTTTTAGGTGGTAAAGTATCTGTAGCGTCTGAAAGCTGTAAAGCGTCTGAAGATAGCAAAGCATCCAAGAGTTGTAATCGTGCTTGAATGATCGCTGTTTTCGAGTTAAGTAATAGCGTATTCTGAAAGGTGATAATGAAACATAAACATCCATTCGACACGTGCACATAATTGCAAATCAAGTATCAACCTACCTCGACTGTGTTGTTGAGAACGGCTGCGTGTCTTTGATATTTGGTAGCATCGAAATATTTTCGGCATTCTTGGACAATTGTAATTCCTGCACGAGACTGTGATGATTGAGTTTTATTTCTATGTTATTATTAAACAAAACTAACTGCCTACCTTTAACCACTTTAAGTAATTATGGCAAAATGATTTTATCGGATTGGGCGTGGCTGTGAGCTGGTTTAATTGATTTAAGCTTTCTCTAAATATTGTGACCGCCTGTTCGAAGTTAATCTCGGAATCAGCAGCGTATTCAATGAAATTTTGAAGGCACCATGAAGATGCTTTCTCGATTGTGAAATAAACGTGAAGGCTTCGTGTATTCGGACTGGCCCGAAATTTGAAATACGTGGTTGAAAGAAGACGAGGTTCACGTACTGCAATGCAGTTTTTTTCATGGACCGTTTTAGGCATAGTGAGTCAATTTACTCTAACAGAAAAAAATCGCGATAATAAGTCGCGTCGATCACGTGCCACATACCCAAGTGGGAATAACCTATACTAAGTGGAAATAACATAATTATGTTATTTCCACTACTGTAGATAATTGTTAAGCAAAGCGTTATATAAATGTCTAAATGGTAAATTCGTATAGGAATACATTTGTGGGGTAAATCACGCCTTGATTTTACAGACACAAAAAATCGTAAGAACGTCTCGTCTATTAGGGATCCATCCCAGCTTATGCGCCTCATGCGCAGCAATTAGAAAGCAATATCGTATGTTAATCCTCAGATGACCCAAATGCGAATAGAAAAGAAAGAGGCTGTGCGGCTGTGTGGCGGGGGCGTAGCCACTCCACTCCCTTCAAAGTTATATTTTCTAACTTCCTCACTGCGCAACAAAACTTTATCGGTGGCAGCTCAGGCTTCACTCAGTATCCGAAAAAAAAAAAAACACTCAGCACACACAGACCAGACCATAATGAGTAAACAGTTCATGTACATTATGTTCTGAATTATGTGCGCAGCATAAAATGGCATCAAGTGCAAGGAAACTTTCATCATGACAGAGATAATTAGCTCTATTCTATTTGTGCATCACGAATTGAATTCTGATCTTTCCGCGCATCCATTCCCTGCGAAATATCCTGAGGAAGTAATCCGGCAAACTGTTCTCGCAAACGTGTGTTATGCCCACTTTAGACTGGATCAACCATGTTTTTTAATGCGATCATTCATACAAGTTAAATGTAGTCTTAAAATGACGCAGCGTAGTGTTTATAAAGATTCGCATCTCTGTCTACATGCGAAATCGCCACTCAATTAGTTGGAGCGGTAATTGTTCTGGTATGTCTGCTTGCACGATGGAGAATTTGTAAACGGTTATCGAGCATGAGAAACAAATTTATTGAATTCTCGACCAACCCCCTTGTACATCAAAAACTTGCTTAGTGAATGCGCTAGAATCCGTCGAGGATAATTTACGTATTCTGATTTGCTGGTCTCACAACTTTTGACAGAAACGTACCATCATGTGCTTCAATCATTTTAATGATCCGTCACTTGACGACTGTTAACCTGTTGTTGCGTGTTCCGATAAATACCGAGCAAAAGAACACAGTCAACCGATTGGCAAAACATCTTATAATAATCTGCGGGTTAGTTGGTTTGAGAGAGACGATTAATATATGGTATAGTAATAGGTGTAGTGAGACAGCATCAACGTAATCGTCCAAAAAATTGGTCAAGTAATTTTGTTTCAAACTCTCCAAAAAAACGGCCTTAACTATTAGCATTTCAATGAATTGATTTGTTCATACCCTATTGTTCAGTATGCGCACAATCTGTTGCGGAGGCTACAAAGACCTGCGATTAGAAAGTGTATTGACGGTGTCTCTGTTATGAAGATTGAGAATTAACTCGGCTGTTGCAAACGACTAAACTAGCAGTGTAGAGTGCGTCTACTTGGACTTGTTCAGTTTGATGTATAAACCTTGAGATCAGACATTCAGGAATGTTCAGGACTAGAGAACATTTTCCCGAGCGGTTAATGGAGTGTGGGTAAATATTTATATCATATGCATTAATGCATAAACAAACACTGCTGCATGTTCTCCCGAGAGTCGGCGAACTTTAATCGATAAAAGGAAATTTAGGAAATGGAGTTATCCTGCGTTGCATGGAATATCAGTTTATTGGCAAATACTTCCTTAAAATGATATCATTGTGATTGAGACAAACGTTAAAAAGTAACGGTGGCAAAGCCAAGCCATAGCCGAGAGCACAAAGAACGTTATCGGAGAATGTTTAATGGTAACGGAGAGCACATTTTTCCATATTGATGTGAACAGAGCCCATTATATGTTACTTTTTATACCAGACAGTGAGGTTGTGCATCAAACAAATAACGATTTTATCCTTGCAGCATTTTTGAAATCGAAATGCAAAGGACGCCTGGTTTCACTCGCCCACTCGGAAATTTTCCTCCATCCATTCATCAAATCGGGGTAATCTTACCTTTGGTACAAATGATTCATTCTGATGTCGAATGTGCCAAAAAGTGGTATATGCACTGCGCACAACGAAGGCGTATTAGTATTACTTGACGGACCAACTAAACTTGAGCGAATATGTAACAGATAAATTTATAAATAAATAATAATCAGAAGATGCTGATTGGCGAATAGTATGCACACGTGCACATTGAGAAGAGTAGAACGCGGATGTAAATGCATAATTTTTAAACAAACAAGAAATGCTTCTTTATTTTAAACCAAAAACACTTATAATCTATATTCATATGAAAAAGTCTACATGGTTAGTTCGCCGTATACAGGTAGTCATAATACATAATATAATAGTCAATGAAGAATACTTAATCCATAATATACAAAGAGAAAGAAAATCTATAATTCTTAATGAGAAGTTATAATTAGAGATAAAACCGTAAAAATGACCTTTTTTAAATTTTCATATTAATAATTTGTCTAAATTTTAACTATTTCTTGTCGTTTTCTCCGTCATCTTGAGATTTACTTGGCATGAACTCGGCATTACTGTTTGTTCTTCTTTACACTTGTTTTCCGCCCCAATCCGACTGTCTTTTCGTTAGAATCTCCGCTTGTTTCATCCACTTTTCGTTTTCGCACAACCGGTAAGCATAAATTATTTGCAACGTCGCTTGGCTTTTGTTCGATAGAAGACAGCTTGGGAAACGCCGCCAAGGGACCGTATGAAGACATTTTCTCACCGTCGCTCATGACGGTAGCTCCGATTTCAGCAAAGCAATGATTGTCGATTGTCTGGTCATAGTCTTCTAAATATACCTCTTCGTCTTCGAGAAAATATTGATCAGGTGAGGAATATAGAGAATCATTTGGATTGCGAGGCGGAGAGGAAAGAACGAGAGCGTTCAGGTCGAGGTCTGGCGTGGTTGACGCAGAGCCAGAATTTGAATCCATGTTTGTTTATAGTATAGTGAGCGAGAACAAGTAGTTCGGTTTAGGATATTATATAAGTGTTGGTAAGTATAATATATATATGCCAATAAGAATATTCCGTTAAGATATAAGATATGTATGTATGTATGTATGTATGTACGTATGTATGTACGTATGTATGTATGTATGTATGAGTGTATTGCGGGTATAGTTATGTGAGAAGACTTGAGAGATAGACTGATAGACTGATAGACTGATATATATATATATATGTTTTTGTTGTATATATGATATGTATTCCTCGTATATATATAAAATATTATAGTCCTTTTTTTTGCAAGTTTTCGTCGGTTAGTATATATGATATGGGGATATGGGGGGAGTTTTTATTGTCTTTGAAACGTTATGTGGCGTTGTTTAATTGAAAGGAAGGTAAATAGTATATAATATCCTGAAAATCTCTGGTCAACCAAAAATAAGTTTGTGTAGTGTCTGTGGGGATGCAATCCGTTTTGGTGGTGCTTATATGTGTTTTTTTTTACACTCTTTCGTGTAATGTAACTAATTATGCTGATAAATGAACTACAATGAGAATACAAGTTATAGGTGCAACAATCAATGATCAGATTGACGAGTCTATTTATCCTGTTTTCGTGACTAGCGCGAATAATCACTGCGGACTGCGGCGATCTGCCGCAGAACCCCAAAAATATAGTGCCGTTCTCGTTCTCTACAGTGAAGCGGAGAATACCAAAATTTTATTTTCCTGGCCCATGCCTTTTGAGACCGGGCTTTTAACAAATTTCATGTTGTGTGAGGATGAGAGGTTGATGACCATGATGTGAGAATGTAGTCTTTGCTTATTGGTCAATGGAGCAACGATCGGCCGAAGCTGAATTCTTTGGTAACGCTTGCCTCAAATTTCATTCCTGGAGGATTTTCTCTACGAGTGAATTTTGATTGTTGTCCGCTCTATTGTAGTCGGTCTAGTAAAGAATATATAAAAAAAGAAGTATCCGGATTTAAATCTCCAGAAGTTACTATCAATTATTAATTGTTCAACTGGGTGACATATGACTAGACCAGTGATCATCAATAAACTTAACTTTGACTATATCATATTGTTTACGTTATCATTATGCGGCCACTATTATCCACCGTACATTATCTAGCCACAATCACAATCATTTGCTATCTATATGTAAATCAGCAACGTACTTTTTAATCATTGGGAAAGAAAATCGCTAATTATAAAACAATATGCTACAATTGGTTTGTTCGTTCCTTAACACAATTCTATATTTATTCGCCAAGTATATAAATGCGCTGTTGCGATGAGAATGAAATATCTCAGTTTCACTATTTTCACATGTCAAGCACGAAAACTCCCTCAGCTGACAATGAAACAAGGGATATTTTTACTCCAGAGTAAATGAATTTGTCATGCCTTTCCTTCCACGTAATCACTCGTCCGATGACTGGGTTTCCTAAAAAGGCCTTTTCTCATTCAGACTTCCGTTGTTTTGGTTGTGCCATACCCTTTTCATGTCTCAAACCTCCTGATTATGCTTGCATGCGAGAGAAAAGATTAAAGTTTGGGCGACTAAAACAAAACTGTTAAGCACTGGCAACAAGCTACAATACACATTGACCGCAGAAGATAAATTGAGGCATTATGTAACAATAATACCACTTTGGAGAGCAACAAGTGTGGCATCGATTGATGTTTGAAAATGATGATGATGTAATATGAGTACTTTGGCCCTTTCCCTCTTGTATTGATGTCATATACTACATACAAATTACATCATCTGTTATATGAAACAAGCAGCGACACAAGAGAGACGGAATTAGCTTCCGATTGAGCCGATGGTAATACGACTATGAGTAATTTTGATGTGAATGGTTTATCGAATTAAACAATAGTATCGATGAGAGACTTCCGATATATTGCAAAGAAAGCGGAGCGGAGGACGGAGAGACAGACAGTCAGTTGTCTCATCACATGTTCAATTAAAATGCTTCACGTGATAAATCATTCGTTCAATTTGTAAAAATAATAAAAATGACATCTCTATTTTTATTCTAAAAGCGTATATACAAGAGACAAAAGAGAGGATTTAAACCGAAGTTGTTAGTTGTTTTCTATAGCATACTTTGTTATATATACATGTGCACAGCAACCCCATCTTCATTGTTCTTACATCTTGCCAAGACATTTGAATATTACACTGCCGCGGATCAAGCAAATCAATGGTAGCGTAGTGTTACAATCAAGATCTGCACTTAAGGCTACTTTACTTATTCCCTTATCGTTATTATTATTATTATTATTATACCCTTAAACCCTTCCCCCCCAATTCTGATAAGATGAATTTACAAGTTCTTACATTATGAATCAAGCAGTCCTTCTTGTTGGACTAGAAGAGAAAAAGCCTTGTTAATAATATTCATCGAACTAACCACTCTGCGTATTATAGAAACGAAAAGATAAATACTCGCTGCCAGTTTGGAAATAAAAATTATAATAATAATAATTAGACTAGTTAATTATAAACATGCAAACAACGTCTAAAAATATGCCATTGGTACGTAATGAAACACAAATTTACTTATTAGTAACTATAATCGCGGGATTAAAAAAGAGAATTTCAATCGCTGTCCCTTTTTACCGCTCTTTATATGATATTCTTTGAAATTTGCAGGTCAACAAAAGTTCAGCTGACATTCTGGAAACAAGAGGCTGGTTGATATTTATCACTATCAAACACAAGTTGAATTAAGCAAAAACTTGAATTCACCGAGCAATTGATGAGACTGTTTGTTTCACAATGACATCAAGGACCCGAATCCTATGGAGGCTCTCTCTCTCCTCTCAACAACATTTTTTCCCTGAAATTGACGCCCTCGCATATGTGACGACTCTTAGCAACTTCCTTGGATATTCTTTATCCTCAATAGAATTGGGACACCGAAGCGTTGTGTAACTTTCGTAGATTTCGAGAAGCTGCCCATAATTGTAATGGCCTCATCAGAATTGGCGTGACAGCAGAGATCACCCAAATCAAGGGTAAAAGAGGTGCTTGTCAGCAGAATTAGATCTGCGATTGTAATTTGTGGAGAGATCTTCGTTGGTGTGGGTTTTGTTGGACATGTTGCCATAAGGGTATTAGTCAATATCAAATGAGAAACACTGACCATGTGTTAATGGTAGATCGTGGGGTATTTTTATTGGAAGATAATGATTATCTTTCACTAATGCCGTTATGTGTTAATATATTCAGTGCGATATATCCGATCCATAAGTAATGCACGCTCCAAAATTTACAAAAGAAAGAAAAGAAACAGGAAAAAAAAAGAACCTCATCCTCATCTTGGAAGATAAATCCACTCCAACCTGCTTCGTTTCGCCCCCAGACTGTTCTCAAAGTCGTTTACCCTTGACCCACCAATAGTATATATTCGAATCACTTTCAAACGTTCCGGTAATTCAATGTCCAACCTATGCCACTTCTCTGGATTTCGTTTCCACGAGAATAAAATCAATTCTTCAATAGTAAATTCCGGACAAGAAAGCAGCTTTCTAAGTAACGACATGTCCGTTGGATCAAACGGGATACCGAGTTTATTGAATGTCTGTGGTAGCCCTGATATCACTTCTATTGATGTTGATCGTAAAGTCGATGGAACATAACTGTCAGCTGGATGGAATATTAAATTACAAAGTGTCGGAGAGTTGGCACTGGCGAGCGAGATGAAGAGAGTGTCGAACGCGGACGTGGATGTGATAATCTGCAGAGTGCGCAAATGAGGAAATCTCACATTCATTAGAGGGGCAAGCTGTCGCTCTGTCGCATTCAAGCAGTTGACTATTTCGAGTTCCTCTAGCATCACACATGATTCTATTGCTTGCAAGGCATTCGAATCGCTGAGGAGTTTAAAATCCATATACTCTAATGTAATTGACTTGAGACTATCTGCATGTTTGCCGAGGGACCTAAGTACTTCTGTGGGCATAGTGCCATGCCCGTATATACGTATGCGCCGTAATTTCCGTATAGATGATATCAGCTCAACGAGAAGTAGCTGGTCTGTTATCGAAACGTTTGCTGCATCAGACATGAAAACATATTCCCCCAAATCCAATGTTGTGATAGACTCTACTGCAGGTGAACGTTGTAGAGCCGAAAACATCGACCAGTCGAAGACCTTGTCAATGCAAAGCTGATGCACAGATCGATTCAGCTGGGTAAAAGTCAATCGAAGGTCTACAAAGTCACTTTTTATTAAAATTGAAGAGTCGATTGTAAGGCATCGGATCCTTGATCTTGGCCCCAAGAATAACTTGGCTAATGTCTTTGTCAACATTCTCTTCTGCTTATCTATCCTGAAACGAGTTCTTGACTTCATAATCCACCAGTCATCCGCCGCATTCCACAACTGACTTAATTTTAATTCTTTCAGGTAAGTAGGGTAATCAAAAAGTCTTGATTTTTGCCGCTCGGGAAGAACGATACCATTCATCGTCAACGCTCGCCGTTCTTTTCTTGATAAAAAGTTCAAGTATGTGTCGATAGTGTATACATTTTGAATTATGCTGAATGGATCCGACCAACACATTGGAATGACAATTGCGCACCAAGTTCTATTGACCAAGAGACACGAGTGAAGTGATTTTCGTTTCGTAGAAGGGTCGGTTTCTCGACTAATGTAGAATAGTATAATGGAGAGGATGTCATGCGGGATATCCCGGTAGTTTGTATTTACAGTGGGTGACCGACGTTGTGTTCTGCCAAAGAGAGATTTGAGTTTTTTGATTATTTGCATTATGGGTATAATTAACTTGGTCGGGTACTTGTCAGTTATCGTGCGTCTTGAATGCTTGGACTGCTATTAAGTTACACTTTATAAAATAAAAATAATGTATTTGATCAAAATTTAGCCGCTTTTGAGATATATTTATATTCCAAGTTTGCAATATAAATCCCCCCGCAGTTATTGTATCACATTCTTTCGACCGCAGATAGAAGTTTGACCTTAGAATGTCTGTCTTACAAACGAAATTCGGAAGCAGAACAGCGAACAAGGGGTCTTGAATAACCGGAGATTAAAGACCGAATGAACAGTGACGTATTATTATGTGTCTTATCGACTTGTTAGTCATTATGATGATGCGGGTCCGATCGAATTTTTAAACACCCATCTCCAATCACAAGTTGGACAAATGAACATGTGAGTTAAAAGGACTTTAATTAAGATGTTAGCTATTTAAGCTTAAGATCCGCGAGTTGCATATTTCACGAGTTTTTGTTTTTGGTGACCTGAACCACATGGTTCCCCCCCCCCCCCCTCGCAAAGAGAAGCGTTATTAGTATGTTCTACCCCCCCCCCCCACTCGGGTTTCTTACAATCTCAGTAGTCGCTTCACTAATAAAACGTTCGTCATCCCGACTCGCACTTCTCAAAGTCGCTTTATGCAATGAACTATGTATTTCCCTGATATAGCTACAAAATTCAGTGCATCCACAACGTTTAAACAACCCGTTCGACTTTCGCTCAATGACCAATAGAGAGCGACGCATCAGTAAGCGACGCAAGCATTGATTACCAGGTAAAAATTGACTCTAACCCTGACCAGGGTTACAAAGTATCGGTGTATCATGTCGAGCATTGTCAATAAGTGCCATTATACATGAATATTTAAGATCTGTTAATTACAAGCCAACAACATTAATCATATTTAGGCTTTTCACCCTTGCGTGTATCCAATTCCGGAAAGACTATCGGCAACGGAATTGTTGCAAGATAAAATACGCTAGTACTAGTACTAGTACCTTATTCGGAGTGCCGTAGCCGCAGCCGCAGCCGCAGCAGACACAATAGCCGATGGAGAGAAGAAAGCGGTCATGTTACCATTTTTTGTAAAAAAGAACATTCATCGTTATTATGTGGAATCTTCCCTTGCATATCTGACGATCTTAACGATCACTGACATGCTTTTCGCAACGGAACATTGTGCAACAAGTAAGAACCTATTGCTATTACTATGACCCTTATGTACAAACAAAAGTTCTTAATTTGTTTAATTAGAACCGTTACTACAAAATTTTCTGCCAATCAGGGTTATGTTTGTTGTACCGATATATTCCGTTCTTCGGATTATTCTCATACAATCAATGGCAATTGAATGTTCGAAGCATACATAGAATACGTTCGACGGTGCACATTATTGAACAATCTTATCGGCTACTGAACGCAATAACCGGATCATCATTATGATAATACAATATGGGCGAGAATGATACCAAATACTCCGACTCTGCTTCCAAAGTCCACTCACTTATATCAGTCCATGCCCGTTGCGATGACAAAGATGAATTCATGTTATGTCGATGAATCAGTGTCGGTGGAAATAAACACAAATGGAAGAACGACTAGTAAAGTAGTCCGTCAATCGATCAAACAACAAGAAGTCGACGAAATGTGGCTGGCGGAAATGTTCGAAGGAACTTGTTTCAAAATTATGGTCAAAGTCAATTGGCGGGGTCCGAAGGCTGGCTTAGGGAACCTCTTTGGGAAATCTTTAGGTTTTTCGCTTAGGCAAATTTAGGTTTTATTATGAGTATCTGGATTACGAGATGCATATTTCGTGACTACTAGTCGAACACTGTTTAATGTATACAGATTACAATAAGACTTTCGATGCAACCTTTTGTTGGTTACCAAACTGATATGGTAAGCAGTCTCGGCTGATTTGTGTTATAATCTGGCTGTATCAAAGACTATAAAGCAGCTGTGGCTCTGGTCAAATTCTGCCCCTCGCGTGTTCCGATGTATAATAAGAACGTCTAGACAAACACAACAAAAGAGCTAACCGAGTTTCTTGGTCACTTCATATGCTTCCTGAGGCGTTTTGGCAACAGCACCCTTTGGCCGTATTTGCTCAACAACTCCCATACTCGTGAATCGCGAGGAAGCGTTTGTGAGCTATCAGACAATAATATTAACAAATTATTCAATGTCTACTCAAGTAGCACATTAATGAAGTCCAACCAGATTAGTCCTATTAGCGAAGACATTTGCAAGCTCGAAGCGACCGACAAATTCGAGTTGGAATAGTTGTGATCTATATGTTTTGTCAAGTCTTTTTGACTTTCGGAATTATAATAAGCTGCAAATACTAAACGCATTGAAGTTTTGTGTTATGTTCTAGTCTATCAAGGAGACAAGGACAGGGGAATATTTCGCAAGGAGACTCTTTTTTTTAGACTATTGTTGTACGGCAAATATTTGTAAATTTTCAGCGTTGCGCATTCCTTCTTGTGCATACCATACCATAGAGGTTTATTCGTACTTTTGAATTGTGGTTTACAACTAGATGCTCTAATAAATTCCAATTGTTTGTTTTTACCTATTACTATACGCAAACTACTATGCAAATTAGAATACTTTATTGCGGAAAATTGGTGAGAGATTTTTAATGAGTCAATATACACTTTACTGTAAGTTACACTATAGATTGGAATATAATATCTCAATCAGCAGATAATCAACGCACTTTTTTTCGACAGCAATCATGACTCTTGTCTGAAATCGTTCTACATCATGAAATTTTAATATATGATTTAACTGTTTGCTTTGAATATGCACGGGGATAAATACTACAATCAATAGTGCGAGGACTAATCAGCTGATTAAATTAATAGCACTGTAGAGGAGTTTCTGACATAAACGGTTTGACAAAGAAAGTAAAATATCGATTGCGAAAGTACATGCATGTCTCATCGTCAATTGACATTGCTAAACGGAATATTGACTAATCAAATACTAAATCGAAAATTGCCCTAAATTGAATTTAAGCGCGCGAATAATTAATAATTACGAAACAGGACATTCGAAGCATAGTTCAAATCTTAATTACGGCTACCGGAGTTAATTGAGTTAGGAAATTTTAGAGTCCGGTACAAAATTTTGTCCTATCTCATATTGGATATTAAATATTCCACGGAATAATTAACGATTATCGTTGAATATTTAATTATTTGATCCGGCTTATCTTACAGTTTTATAATAAAATTTACATTTATCGAGGTATTTTTAATACAAAAATTGGGGGCGGTAAAATTCTTTATCTTAGAGCGAATTTATCTTAACACGACTTTGTTTGACTATCACTATTTATAACTGACAAATCTTGGTATTGGCGAAAACGTGACTTTGCTACAAAGCGAAACCAAAATTTGGGGTCTATAAAAAAAAGGGTGTACCAAAAACGAAACTTTTTGCATGCAAACGATAATAGTATGTTACGCAGAAATATACGTCGCGTCGTGTCTTTCAATGGCGACTTAATTGAAAAGATTAAAAAAGCTAAACACTAAGAAACTTGTTGAATTTTTATCAGACATATAAGTACGATTTAGATATTATGGTCTCCGGTCGTGCTTTATTAAGTTGACTTAAGATAAGCTTGAAGATGGGGAATAGCAGAGAGAGTCAGTTTTAGCGATCGTGGATTTCATTGAGAAACTCAGAGGCAAAGAATGTGGGAAGTACCTTCTACATTTCTTTATTATCATTACTATTTTATGATTTGAGCATCTGATAAACGGAGAAAAGTTGAGGATGAAGATATGGCCTCCATTGACAGCAAGGATAAGTATTTTTGCAATATCCTACACTGTATGGAACCATCCACTTACATGGACCCTGCAGTTGATGCTTGGAAAGAGGGCCTCGCACACCTTCTAGGACCTATTACGACGTCTGTAATCCTCTTAGTTAGTTCCATGTGACATACTCTGTTCCAGAGTCCATTGTGTCAATGCCCATATCCATTTTATTGTGATCAGCTTTCATATCATGTCATCATTTTCATGGAGACAAACTGATATAAATTGCTCCGACTTTTCTTGTAGATGAACATTTTAAATGCACTTCTTATTTTGACAACACATATGTTGATGACTGGTCTCACATTAGTTGCCTTAAGTATGTAGGAAATGTGTCCACATCTGACATCAGAAAACCGTATTAAATTCTCGATTACAAAGCTAAATTATGCTCAACGAGCTTAAGTAAATCAATTCCCCAAAAATCGAGAGCAAAGGCTTTTAGGCATTTTGAGAATGCAGATCGCACATTTGAGCGTAATGAAGTTACTTTGTTTTTCGAAGAATTAGACACACGAGTATGTCAGTTGATTGTTATTAATTTGTGTATGTGCATGAAAACTAATTCATTGACAGATTGACACAACTGCCACAAATAATCTCGCAAATGCAAAAGGAGATTTGCTCGAGTCAAAACTGAGAGTCCATGCATTGAATAATATCATCAATCTTGAATCTAATGGAGATCCGATACCGAACAGGGAAAGTGAGGAAGTAAATAGTTCACAAACACCGCCACTAAGATCTCCGCTGAACGACTATTCCCCTCTTGAGAGTCGAAATAGACGTCAGATGTCTGACGAAAAAGTTATTCAGTGAGTTCATGTTGCAGCACGTTTCTGGTTCTAATATTTGGAACAACTTCATTAATTGGATTATTTTTATTGTATACCAGCCACCGTATCTTAATGCCATGGAGCAATCATTGAAATCAAGTACCGTTCCACGCCTTCTTTGCGGACGGAATCCCTAAGTCTGTTTTGACGGTGTGTTTCCACAGATTTTTATTAGCGTTATATTGAGCCGTGACAGGGACTTGGCTACTGATTTACAGAAATCAGGGGACGAGTTTAAGATGGAGATTATGCGGAAAATCGAGGGTGACGAAGGCAATGACTTTCGTCTTACTGCGAAAAAGTTTAATGGACTTGTGAGTTGTCATTTATTGCTGTTCTTTAGGTGCTTAAACGCTTAGTAATCCTTCTTCCTTGATTCCAGCTATAGCCTAGTAGAATCTTTCGAGAAAGATAGGGGAAAGGAAATACATTGTCCAAAATGTTTCTTCGTTATTCAAATTCTACGAATCCACGTTTGGAAATTTGTATTTCGACTGGATCGAAACGCATTCCCCAGCCCCGAAATTAACAAAATCACGTACTTACACCGGCATTGTCAAAGTCGATGCGAAAGGTGAGCAATAAAAGTTTATCCTTTTCTTCGTCATTAGTATTAGACAGCGGGTTCTTTAATTGTTCTAATTTATCCTGGAAGTGTTCGAGTTCTATGATGATAAAGAGATTTTCCACGCTGAAGTGTCGGGTCCGCCGTCATCATCGTCATCACAACATGGACATGCTGTCAACGATACAACAAAATCTATACATGCCGGCATATTGAACCTGATCGCGATCTTACTAGATCACCACCGAGCTCCAATAGAATATGCAATCAATATTAAGATATTAAGGTTAACAATTTGTATTTTATTCAATTATTAGAATATCGCATAACGTTATACTCGCTTAAGATGTCAGAAAATGGTACCTTTTTGATTTCGGAACTGTATTCTGCCTTGCCGTTTTCATTCTATGCAATATCAAAATACAAGAGAACCCTCTACATGATGTCGATTTTCCACGTAAAAAGTTATTGCAATTATAATTTTTATTATCTTTGGTTATTCACGAGCTTCTATGGTTTCAGGATGAGGTTACGAAGCAAATTTCAGTCATGAAAAACCTCGACTTACAATTAATCATGGTAGAGGAAGTACAGCTCGGGATGTGTTAAAAATCCCAAAAACTCTGAAGGATTTTTTGCATGATTTGTATACGATAAAGGAAATTGCGTGTGTGCGTGTGTGTTTGTTTATGTGTAATGAATTGAATTATGTTCAGAATCATGCGAAACAAACATGCTGAAAAATAAACCTGCCGGTCAATGTCGTCGCACGCTCAATGATGATGATGATGGTGATAGTGCATTATATCATATGGAAGGAAACGTTGTTCCTATAGCAGCAAACATGTGTGTTTTCTCTTATAAACCCTTACTGGTCAAGTTGGTTTATGTCTTCCACACGTGCTATAATCAATGTCATTCACACATCCACGAGTAATTACTTGATGTGCCGAAAACCATTAATGGAGTAAAGGCCTCCTTACTATAAATAGCATCGTCCAGTTTTCTGAGTATAGGAGCGGTAGATCTCCCTCTACCTCTCGCACGTTCCGATGTATAATAAGAACGTCTAGACAAACAACAAAAGAGCTAACTGAGTTTCTTGGTGACTTCATATGCTTCTTGAGACATTTTAGCAACAGCACCCTTTGGCGTTTTGACGCCATGTTTATCCAACAATTCCACAGACGGATACTCGTGAATCGCGAGGAAGCGTTTCCCGCTGTCGTTTTGTGAGCTACCAGGAAATAATATTAACAATTTATTTAATGTCTACTCGAGAAGCACATTAATGAAGTCCAACCAGATTAGTCCTATTAGCAAAGACATTTGCAGCTCGAAGTGATCGAAACATGTTGAAAATTCGAGTTGTGATCTATATTCGCTGTATGTATGTCTTTTTGACTGTCGGAATGATCTACACAATAATATGGGTCTGCAAATACTAAACGCGTGTAATTAAACGCGTTGAAATTTTGTGTTATGTTCATTCATCTTCCAGTCTATCAACAGGTATAGTTGAGACAAGGGCAACAAATATTTCACAAGATATTTACTGAGACTCTTTTTTGGGGTATATCTCTGCTATATGGCAAATGTTTGGAATTTTCAGCATTGCGCATTCCTGAGCTGCTGCCGCAACAAGTCAGGTGATAAAGCTTTAATTTTAGAACGGTAGTACTAGATAGGCGCAATTACCCGCCTATTGATTATCGTTGAATGTTTAACCGGACAATACCTATTGAGCTTAAGTCATATTACAAGCTATAAGGTTGAGTAACAAATTCGTAAGATCGTCTGCTGAACGATTACGTGCATAAATTAGTAGCTAGGCAATAAATTAGATATTGATGCTAAAAATAGATCCAATTAGTTAGTCGATAGATATACAAAACAAGCTGCGTATCCTTTGGCAATAGAATCCAGTTGTCGGCCGAGCGGACGGCAAACCTTGCAAAAAAAACTTGAAGACCCACGAGAAATTGTTGCTATGAATATGATTTGCAATCTGCTATAGACGAGTTAGAGAAATCTAGACGTAAGTTCCTTTACTATATTGTCCGAATAAAGTTTGAATTTATCAGTTGGTTAGCTTATCTTTCTCAATTACTTGAAAACTTGTTACTAGATGTTATTTTCTTTTGATTTATAGAAATATTGGCAAGGTTTGTTCAGCAGAACCAACTTTTACCATTTCCAAAGACTTTCGTGTTCAATAATTGCTTGTAGATTATAACCGTCGTTTAGATAATTGTATTGGTAATGTGAGGATTGAACCCTTGAGATAATTGTGGCGTTCGGGAATATGCAAACTCGTTATCCAGCGGGAAATATTAGAAAATGGTGTACATCACAATTAAAGCATGCCGAAAGCAACAGGAGTATAGTCATGGGTATTAAAATCTGTTACAAAATTTTATATTTTGGTGCTCGTTTGTCGCTTAGTTTCTTTTCTTTGAACATTTGTCAATGTTAACGTATAGCAATTAATTCAAAATAGAAAAAGGGAGAAGGCATCGATAGTATATGAAAATAGTCTACTTTCGCTATTTTGACTATGCAAAGTCTTGTGCAATTTTCTCCGATTATCAAATATTAATTCCGGTTGCAACAAAGACAAAATGTTCTTGACGCAACGGTTGCTCAACCCTGACCTAACTTTATCGTATTGAAAAGTTTGGTCTATAGACATTCAGTTAAGCTAATACAGACGGACAAATATTACGACAAGGACTTTAGGTCTCTAAGACAGCGAAAAGAATAAAAGCTAAATCACAATAAGACCGACTTTTTACATCTGCAATTTATGTAGGCTGCGGTAGAGATATAAATAATTTGTACCCTTCCTTAAATACATTAAGTTCAAGCCTGTTTTGAAGCTATTTGATATTAGCTGCGGAGTAACTTATTTCTGTGCTGGATATGTACATTATAAACAAATTTGTAAACAGTAAAATAAACATTATCAATTGAAAAACAACGAAATTGTTTAAATTTCCGTGCATTTACAAAATACCTTACTTTAATCCGTTATACTTGCCTATCGAAAGGACAAGTTATTGACGACTCTAAACTATCGAGTGTGAGAAGGATTACGAAGGATTACGTTATTTCGTGATTTCGTAACACAATAAATTTGGGGCATTGACATAATTTGATATGCAGGTATTGCATTCAAATGCAAGGCCATCGATAACCATTGCAATCCCTCCCTGATAGAAACGACTCATGTAATTACAAAATTGGGTTGACAAGCCACTCAAAATTTTTTTTCTAACGGACAAACATGTGATGTTTATGCTCTCATAAGCAATACGCCACAACTGCCAAGATTCCGATCGGTGAAAAGAAACAAAGCATGCATTCGTCTTAATCATTTATATCTGCAGTCTTTCCTCTTTTTAGTTTTCGGAGTTTAAAATTTTACTGTGCAGGGATCATATACTGACATTTCAAGCCCCGCATAAATGCGTGACTGCATTTAATCTCGAATAAGTAAACAGACGGTTGTTCTTAACAAAGGGCTATTGCCATATTGTTTGCTATTCGAGTCGACATGACTGTGCCGACAATGCATCTTTGCATCATTGATTTTCACATCGTGATTGTTTTCAGGGTTTCATATATAAATGGAAAAGTCTTATAGTCGGCTGATTTTGTCTAAGTTTTCTCGATTAGTACAGCCGAGAATGTCGGACAGCATGCCATTTATGGGATAAACAGTGTAACATTTTTATGATAATAAACTCATTCGACCTAACCGTTATAACTAATGATTGGAGGGAAAAAATGGCTCGCATTTTTCAATGCATTTTAGCATACACCGTGTTTGCTCCATTGATGCAAAATTGGGATTGTTATGTATGTCCCAAGTCGGCTGTCTGGAGGGTGTCATGTCCAACTTTATTTGGTATCAAATACAACTGACTTGCTGCAATTACCCGTGTTTTCTCCGTATATGCGTTTATTGTTTTATCCGTCTTGCTCTGTACAATTGCTAACCATTCATAGTAGATAATGATTCTTATTAAATTCAGATATCGGTATTATAACGAAACAAATGCACCGTTGATTTATGCTTTTATGGTTACAGCATACGAATATTGTTTTCGTATATAGAAATAATAGGAATAGCAGCGCAATCCAATCTCCGTCTCGTAACAGTATAAATTACCGTGTTTTTCCAGCGAAAAAATGGTAGACTACGAGTCTCAACGAGTCTTTGTTCATGGTATACAATTATCTTAGCATATTCGAGCTCGTTTACTACGGATATAATCGATTATAAACTTCGACCATACGAACATGGACACACCGACAGTCATTTTTCATTCGGAAATTCCAACAGATCAATCGATCTCATCGTTAATATCAGGCATCGTTCCTCCTCCGAATATAACTCTTTTTCTTCGCGTGGAAGAGCTAATTATATGCAGAAACGTACCGAGGAGTGTTCAACGTGGACATACTCAAGTTGCTCGACCACCCAATTGTTTCATGATATATAGAAAAAACTGTCTTGCAGGAAGACGAAGGACAGTAAACGACGGCAGACCGTTCAACATGAGTAGTTTTTCAAAAGAGATAGCAGCTAAATGGAAGACGGAGCCTCCTGAGGTTGTGAATTTTTACACTCAAATGGCAGAAATTGTCAGGGGGATTCATAGTAAAGTCCACCCCCATTACAAGTACACACCGAGAAAAGCGGTTAAGCGGAGGAAAGCCAAACAAGATATAAAAACAAATGACAAAATGACTGGGTCTTCACAACAACGAAAAAAACGTAAAAAAGAAGAGAACGTAGTATCTGAATTTCAAGTAGAGTTTTTCGTTCATGAAACTAATGGTGATGATAACGCTTCAAGTAATAGTAATGATACATACTATGATTGCGGTGAAGAACTACTCGAATGCCCAGAATCTAGTTCCTCCGCAGACGAGTTTAACCACTTGTTAAATAATATGGATTTACGCAGAAGCAGTGATAGCGAGTCAGACGGGTATTGACGAGTTTGATAGATTTTTATAGTTTCATTTATTGTTTATTTTTTCTTTTCTTTTCTTTTCTTATTTTTTTAAGTTTAGCAAGTAGGCAATTTCGTAAGATTAAATTTTTAAGATTTTATGACAAAACGCAAAGCAATTTAAACTTATTTAGGTCGTCGTATTGAATTATGTAAGGACGTTTATTTCTTTATGAATAAGAATCTGTTTTCAAGTCGAATTTGACGGAAAAACAAGTTCTGCCTAATTGTATATTGTGTCATTCTCGCGCCACATCAGTATACCTTTGTTTTCAGATTCTCAGCCACATACGTTCAGGCAACAAAGAACAAAGATCGCCATGATTGGTGATCACGATACAATGGCACTTTATAAGTTTCTGGTTGGGGGTACTACGGAAAGCATACCCTGAATATGATTAAGAATGACACTTCAAATATATCATTATGTCACATTTGAAAAAGGATACATCATTACGTAAGATAAAGTCCAGATCCGAAACAAAGACTTGCCCGATTTACAGCTCGTGTTTGATGATAAAAATAAACCATAAATCATTAAAAAAAACCCAATCAATTCGTACCAGCAAATATTAGTTCAACGTCTAACAGTTAGCACAATAATATTGTTTCTTCATAGACTGAATAGGGTTACAAATATAAACACTGCTACGCCTCTCGTTCTAGTTCGTAGTCGGATAATCAATTGATCCAGTGCAATTAGTCATCATATAAAGTTGAAATTGATATTGCCCTAGTTCACAGATATCACTATAGATAACTGCCATAACTGGCAAAACCATTGTTCCAAATTTGATTCTAGTCACCAGTTTTGATAGCAATAGATATTAATATCTCCTATCGTTATCTCCCTAAATAAATCTAAAAATAACTGAAAGAACCTAAATTCTTTTTTCGAATCACATTCAATTCCGAGATATGACGTGAGAATTTGAGTCTTCCAACGGGCTATATTTCACATGCAACTCACATGGTCTTACACGATATAGTCTAATGAAATCGTGCTTATTTTGAAAGAAAAAAACCATCGGAGATCTGTGAAGGGACGTACCATCGAGTCGCAGCATCGATCCGCAGTTGAATGAGAACGTCGGGACATGGAACGATTTGATCGATACTAGACGAGAGCAAGCTTGAAAAACAAAAAAAAAAAAAGACCAGAATTTAATGGATCCTTAAAGAGTCCGTGCCATAATGTATCCTTAAAGAGCCTGTCATAATGTATTCTTAAAGAGATGAAATCGATTTATAATTTAAAAAAGGAGGTTCATTGCATCACTGTGCCACATTAAGGGGATCAGCCATTTTGATCATTTAAAATACGCCATAGCAGGAAATTTCGGTACCTTTGAATTTCAAATCTTGACCAGGATATGATGATAGAAGAATGATATTTATCAGTAACAAGATTATCACCGGGGTGTTTGCCTGTAATGAGATTTGGCTAGAACATTCGATGCATACGTATGCAAACCGGAACTGCAAACTCCGAGATAGATAAGACGCAAAGATTGACCCACCGAACACAATCGATTATCCTTACTCTCACTAACTTACAGCAGTCTACTTTCAGTGACAAACAAAGTTATCACTTACCAGCATGAATCCTCCCAAGATGCCGGACGCGCTTTACTCGAATGAAGAGTTGATACAATCTATCAGATTAGTTTCGGAAAATACATTCACTCAAAATATCCTGATCAACAACGACATTAGTAACACTAATCATCCGATTGTTATCGAACACGATCTGACGACCAACTTTTTGGATAACAATCAAAAGACGGAAGGGTCATCGCCCTATGCGCCGGCGCCTCGCGTCATCTTGGGGTCCGACGATGTAACCTTACCTTGGGATTTCATGCCAACAAATCTGGATCCCGACCAAATTCCGGCAGAATATTGCGACCTCTGCCAACAACTCTGGCCTTTCCGTCTTTCCCTTTCCATCAACGAGCTCATTTCTCCTTCGCAAGTGTCTCGTACGTTCCGACGAGACGAGTCGATACCACGTCCGCAAAATGCCTTTATAATTTATCGCCGTAACCTGGTAGCGTCATTGAAAAATAGAGGAGGTGACATTAAGTTTCATGATATCAGCGACGAAGCCAGCGAAGCGTGGAGAAAGGAGAGGCAAGAAGTGAAGCAGTTCTTTAAATGCTTGGCTGTCATGGGGAAGATAGTGCACAACAAAAAGTGGCCTGGTTATATTTACAAGCCAAAGAGAAAAGCAAAGGGACAGCGAGATGGTGGAACTTACGTGAGTGGTGACGAAACGGATGGTAACGGCGGCGATGAAAGCGAGGAAATTGAATGTCTCAACGCAATGGTCAACGAATGTTGCAATATTATGAGCGATCACGATAAAAAGGACGTGCTTTACAAGGCATTGTCCAAACAAATGAAGAGTTTGCGAAAGCGTCAGCAGAGCAAGCGTGCAAGTAAATTAACCAAAAGAAAGAAGAAGAGAGTGATTGTTAACAAGAATAACAGCGTTGATTATGACACTGGTTGGAAACAACGTAACAATATCGAGAGCATAGAGGGGATGGAAAATGGGGGAACCAGCGGGGATGGAAGAAGCGCAGATGAATCGCATGACAATATTGAGCTGAGCGGCAGCCATTACGATTGTTCGATAACCGGATTGAGTTGTGATCCTGATGATACGGGCGTTGTCAATGTTCTTGATGGCGTACAAACGAATGGTATTGAAGATTACGGGACAGCGCTGGATCAGGCATCAGCTTATCCGTGGTTCTACTCGATTCCTCCTTGGAGTGGAAATGAAGGCGTTTCAGACCTGATGTCCGAGAATGTATGTAACAGTGCTAGTGAACGTACTGAGGAATGTGTATCAACTGTGAATGGGTATAATGGAATGTGCATTGGTCCTGAATACACTACTATGGTCGGATGTGATCTCTTATGATTCAGTAGAATAGAAAGTGCATTGAAAGTATATAAATATTTTATTTATGATATGTATATGTAAAATATACGTCAAGCGTATATGCGGCATCACGTATAAATATCATTATACGAACGAGTATGGTAAATATATGAGTAACTTATTTATCAAATAAAAATATAAAATATTTCTTATATAATTAGTGATACATTGCACTCATGTGAAGCATACCGCATTCGTCTCGACATAATGCCTTTGCGCGATGTCTATTATGTGTGGAGGGGGGTCACCGCGAACCCTTTTATTTTTGCCAATTCCCTTGTGTACCGTTAGATGACGCCACTTGCCATTATTGGGTTGTGGATCGCCTGTTTGATCACACATAGACCGTAATTCGTAACACCATACGGTGAACTGCGGGTCTCGGCTATACTCTTTTTGGACGAGGACATTCATATCATAATAAGGCAAACAATCATTGTAAATTACATAGACCTGGTAACGAGTTTTTCCGAACAAGTTAAAATTATAAACGAAACGGGCTATAACGCCTCGTACTAGACAAACGTCCATTCGGCAGACACATAAATAGATAATAGGAGCAAGTACGCCGCCATTGATCCTTGAATGTTCAAGCTTGTTGCTAACAACTGCCTTTGATAGTCAATCCATATAACCGCAATGGTCGTAATGTGGCAATATATGACCTCATAAAGAGACGTTATTGGAAAAGACAGGTTTTTATTCCAGATTAATGGAGAAATACGTGCACCGGTTACAATAAGTTTGAACCCCAACAAAAATTTCAAATGGTAAGATTTATTATTGCTCGTAGATATGCAACATTTCTGCAGGGACGCCATCTGTTACAGAGAGATAAGGTAGATGAACATACAATAATACTTTGCAATCGGGAACCCTTTAATGGTTGATGTAGCTACATGTGTTAATCAGGATCGTAAGTATAAAGACATTATTCCTTTTTTTCCTCGTTGCTGAGCAATGTGTGAATTTTCTATTAATGATTGTTTCGGTTAAACTAAATTTTAATAATAGAATATCAGTCACGTAATCACAATACTAATATACAAATTAATATTAGCCGTGCAGTTATGATTGTTTGTCGTCTGTTTCTTCCTATTGTTGTCATTGTCGTCAATGAAACACCATTCATTCGCTCGTGTCCACAAGTAAAATAGTAAAAGCGTAAGAAATAGGTTTACAGAATACGTAGAACGCATCTTTATGAATAGAACGTATTTGGCACTGTACATTTTTTTATTCATCGGGCCAGTATATTGGCCAGTATATTGTCGAGCTGCCCGTTTTGGTTGACGGCGTAACTTACAAAGACTGAGAAACAATATGCCGTACAATATTATTACAGTCGCACTTCACAGTATGCAAACAAAACAAACAAAATCAGCCCGATTTAGAGATTCAAGATTCTGCATAAGTAAAAGTAGGTATAGCAGATCACATGAAATGGTTCTTTTATTAGGCCATAATACCTATGGAAAAACCTAATGGAAAAATCTGATGGAAAGAAATAAACTAGTGTGTTTGTAAGGAATTGATTCAATTTAACGAAAACAAATATATAAAGGGTGGCGTGTGTGTGTGTTATGTTGGATGAGATAAATTGTTAAGATTTCTCTCTCGGTAAATTGAACAGCAAAAAACAACAGTAACATTGAAATCAACAGCAACCGTAACATCAAAAACAACAGTAACGGCAAAAACAACAGCAACAGTAACATCAAAAACAAGCCAGTGAAAACAAAAAGCAACAGTAACAGTAACAGTAGCAGTAACAGTAACAGAAACAGAAACAGAAACAGTAACAGTAACAACAACAAGAATCACAACAGACATCAAAAATTTCTTCTTCCTACCTGAATCCTGCCTTTTGACTATCGCGTCATATCTAAACACATTTACGTCTGCTTTAAAACATTTGCAACCCAAAATCTACTCCTAGTTTTCAAATTACATCCTCAATAAAAATGTCTCATATTTTCAACGAAGAAATTCTCCTCTTTATTTCCGAGCAAAACCTGCTCACAAAAGAGGTTATGGGATTGTTAGATAACCCTCCTCTTAGATTAGCTCTTCCTATTCAGGAATTGGTGGATCCAACTCCGCGTTCACGAAAACAATTGAGAAGTAAACGCATTCCACGCTGCAGTAACGCGTGGATCATGTACAGGCGTAATCTAAACGCCATAAAAAATGAAGAGAAAGGATCGGCACCTCGCACCAAGCAGACGTTGCAAGCCTATTCAAAAGAGGCCAAACGCCTGTGGGAAAACGAGGGACCCACAGTTAAGAGATTTTTTGAGGTCCTTTCGGAGCTTGCGCGGCAGGTTCATAAACGCAAGTATCCCGATTACAAATACACGCCCAGGGAGAAGAAGGGCAAGACGGCGAAACCTAAAGATGAAGGCCCTGGGTATGTATTTTTTGATGGAGTGAAGGAGTGGAGGGAGCCGATCGAGGTGGAAGAAGATCATGGAGAAGACATAGACGCGTCACCGCCCGATGTTCAATTGCCGGTAACACCAGTAATAGGGACGGGACATCGACAATCTCTTTATTCACCGCCAGGAGCAGAATCGTGGGAAATGGAATTGCAGTCAGATTCGTTCGAAGATTTATCGTTTGAGGATTTATCGTTTGAGGATTTATCGTTTGAGGATTTATCGTTTGAGGATTTATCGTTTGAGGATTGAACGAATATTTGAACAATATTTATTTTCGAAATTATAATGTCTTTTGTTCACTTGTATTTACAATCACAAACCTGTAACAAACTTTATTCTAGTTAACAGTTTACTGTTCTTTTGCGGCGAAGCAAATCTACTATCATCGCATGTTAATTTAATTATATGATCAAGAACACATTTTGTACATGATAAAAACATAGTTACATATGATTAGGAAGACATTTGTACATGATAGAATACATTCGCATATGATTGAGTATACGATAAGAACACTTTCGTATGTGAACAACCTGTATATGATTACTAATATTTTTTTTATATTGTTAAGAAATACCATTGTATGTTGTTAAGCCGTACACTTGTATATGATTTTGACTACCTTTTTATATCGCCATATATGATCGATAATGGCGTACCTCTAAGATTGCGATATGCGCAATTGTTATGTACTTTATTGTAATATAAAACAATATAAGCATATGAAAACCTAAACTATTTTATGTACGCATTTACAATATTGATTGATTGAATGCTGGGGGGAAAAAGTTTTTATCATCAGGGATGTTGGTCATGCATGCGAACACCATTCACATCTGTCAATAGTTAAAGTTGAATGGTCTTCTAACCGAGATAAGTATCTCATTAACTCATGGTTCTCAATAATGCTTGCATTTGCCATTGTGGATGAATGACCCCCCCCCCCCGTTTTACGTATTAATAGCCTTTTTTTAAGTTTCAAATTCGTATCCTTTGCTATAATTGGTGGCAGGCAAACAAACAATAAAAACTTTTTATGTGTGTACGTTAAAATTGTCTCCTATTCCCAAGTGTTACGATAAAGCAGTGGTGTCACAGATTTGCACAAAGTCCTAAAAGCGTCGGAGAAATAGAGAGAAATACCTATGTTGATATAAATGGTAAGATTAACATGAACACCAGTGACGATTACGGGGATAAGTCACGTGCTGTATCGCGAAATGATGGAAAGTGAGATCAATGTGAACTGAGAACTAATTCGTATATGGGCTCGGGCTCGGGTATTGATTATCTCAAACATGTACATAACATACGACTAAACGGTTTGCTGCGCATATATTCAACTCTTAATATATGAAAAAAGAGATTACAGTGACCTTGGCGCATTATAATAAAGCAATTTAAATAAAAAAGCGATAATCAATGGAATCAAATGGAATCATGGATTAAATGGATTAAATAAAATACACTAGAATAATATAAAAACCAAATAAGTTATAACATAATTAATTAAACAAACAGCCGTATACATCGGAGATGTCACTGTAAAAATTATAATATTATACAAACATCCAAACCTTTTGTTTATATATTACTACTTTAAATAACGGAAAAAAAGTCCGTAATTATTACATATCTAGCAAAGACGCTATAAACCAGAGCCCTTGTTCTCTAAATTTGTTGCAATAATTGTTTCTCCGAGATCTAGTAGTGCGACAAAGTCGTCGTAAATATTCAACGGAGACAAGGAGCTTACTGCAAGCCATAAATTTAATACATATCAATCGTATAAATAAAGTAAATATCTGACTGTTATTTCTGAGCATATCCGATAACTTCATGTGAAAAGTGCACACATGCCGTCTCGTGTTGAAGATTGTATAAAATGGTGAAGATGAAATAAACAAAGAAAGTATTGCTTTATTTGAATAATAAGAAAACAGATATTCCGTGCAAACAGCGTGGAAATGGGATTGATATCCATTCAAACTCCGATTTTGCGTATAAAACAGGCAAAATATTTGCGTACAAATTCATTGTTATTATTTCTTATCAAGCTTTAAGCAAAGACTAATAACCGATTGATGTCACATTTAATATATCATGTAACAATAGTAATAGCTGATTCGTTGTCAAGTTTACACTAATATCAACCTTTTCTACAATTAAAAGACTGAATGAAGCATTTATTCAATATATTACATTCTTAAAATAACAAACCCTTAATTTCTTGTTTGTAGATCAAAAGGGTATAAAGCTTATGATTGATTGCGCCCCATATCAACATTACGACACCCCCAGTTTACATCCATAAAGAAAAAAAAAAGATAGATAAAGATATTACTCTAGCCATACAACGGTATTAAATCCATATAACAAATAATAATAAGATAAAATAATAAATAAATATTTCTAAACACAATTATGCGATACAATTCTTCTCAACTATACGTTTGTCTAAAGCTAAAAATACATAGGTGCTTCATACACATCAGGGTACTGATTCATTAACGAGTAAACGATATTTGGTTCAAAGGTTTGCAGTTCTTGAAACTGAATAATGCTTTCATGCCCTATTGAGGGCGGAATATTTGAAATGTTCGAAATGTTCGAAATGTTCGAAACGTTTGAAATGTCCGAAATGTCCGATATATTATTTACATAATAAATATTGTCTTCTTCTACTGCTGCGTCATTGCTGTTCGGTGCAGCCGTAATCTCCTCGCTTGCAGCCGTTTCTTTTTTTGCGCTTTTTTTCTTCGAGCCGTTGCGCATTCTCTTGGGGCAAAATATGTATTTCGGATACTTTTGTTTGTGAATTTCTTTGGCAATGTTTCCGAGGATACAAAAAAATTGCCTGACCGCCCCACGTTCTTTTTTCCACGACTCACTGATCTGTCGGGTAACTTCGGTCATTCGAGTGACTTTAAAATTTACTCCTTGGGCCCGCAACCTTGCGATATAGTCGCGCTTGTACAACATGAAGTGATTCTGTGGTCGCGGGACCTTTGTGTGACCCCTGGCTACGTTCCGAGCGACTGTGCTCGGATTTGTCAGCTCCTCTATAGAGAGAGTGAGCCTAAATGGTAATAGCGTTGGTAAAAGCGCTGCGGGGTCTGAGATAACGTCTTTGTGGAAATGGACAGGAGGTGTTGATGACGTGTTCATGATAAGATTT